TTCTAAAATTTAAGTAATAATTGTTTATAATTTTAAAAAAATTAGCAAATAAAATTACAAAAAAATTTTAATTCATAATCACTTGAAATTTAATTATTTGCAAAAATTTCAATTATTTTTTTGATGATTTTTATAATATTCTTCGCGAAAATTCAATTATCTGAAAGCATCAATAATAAAAACTTTTGGAATTCAATTTTTTCATGTGATTTCTAATAAATTCTTCATCAACAGAAATCACTAAAAATTTCTCTTATTATAATTATTGTCTGAAATTTCACACAATCTTTTGAAATTCAATTATTTTCAAAAATTTCAATTTAAAAGCTTCTAGAATTTATTTATTTCTAAAATTTTCCGTCTAAATTTTTTTTAAATTTTTAATCATTTCAATTATAACTCTCCTGAAATTCAATTATTTTTAATGATTTTTATAATATTCTTCGAAAATTCAACTATTTGAAATCATTTTTCACTTAAAAAGTTTTTAAATTATTGTATTTTTGTCTGCAATTTCTAAGAAATTTTTTAGTAACAGAAATCATCAAAAATTAAAAATTAAAAATTACTTAAAGTTCAATTAATTTCAAAAATAAAAATTGTAAATCTTTGAAAATTCAATTACTTTTAAAAAATGTTATCTAAAATTTTTTGATAAATTATTTTTAGTTCTGTAAAATTTAATTATTGTCTGAAATATTAACAAAATCTTTTGAAATTCAATTATTTCTAAAAGTTTCAACTTATAAATCAGACTTGAAAAAATTACAAAAAATATGGAACTTTAAGAATTTTTTTGAGAAATTTGTCCTATTTAAAAAAAATTTTGAAAATTTGTCTTACAATTAGTTCGATTCTGAAATCGAACTTTTTTTGGAATATAAATCAACTAAAACGATTTTTTTTTGTGCCTTAAAGTCGATCCGAGGCCTGACTATTTGTAAGAATATTATTCAGATCTAAAAATTTAGAAATATTCTTATTGTAAGAATATTGTTCTCATTTTAAGAATATTATATTCAAACCATAATATAATAATTAAATTTAGAATACCATTTTTACGGTGCAAAATTTTCATAAAAAACGACTTCAAATTTTTTTCTTTATTTTTTTGTTGTTGTTAATAATTAACTAATCGAATGAAAATGTTTAATTTTCTTTAAAATAAATTTTTTTTCTCTAATGTAAATCTGGTGAATCCGCAAAATTTAGTTTATTGAGAATAAATATTCGATATCCAATTAATGTAATGAAAATTAAAAATTGTGACGTGATGAGTAAAACTTTTCCTATACCTATTATTATTGTGATTTTATTTTGGGACGATTTTGGCAAATTTAATTGATGCAAAAAAAAAAAAATTTTGTGAAATTTTTATTCAAAATTTTTATTTTTTACGTTTTTTTCGCAATGTTTATAAAAAAAAAATACACGTATTTTTTTTATTCTTTTATTTGATAAAACTTATGAATGTCATGATTTTTTTAAGTGCTTTTTTCCGTTCTACTATAATGGATAAAAAGTAATTATTGTATTATGAAATTCGTTCGATTTTTCTTTAATATTTGAAATACGACGTAAAAAAATATAACTATAACGTAAACATATTAAACATTGCAGTTACATTATTTTTTTTACTACATATTTAAAATATTGAATAAAAATCAAACACATAAATATTATTTTTTATCTGTTAGTCTGTAATTTTTTATCTATACTTCATGAAGACATTAAATTTGAAAAAATCACAACTTCCATATAATTTTTATCAAATAGAGAAATAAAAAAAAATATGTAATAATTTAATTATAAATAATATTTATGATATTTAGGGTCAGTTGGGGTAAATGGGGACAAGAGGTTTTGGAGCTTAATTTAGAGTTTTAAAATGAAGTTCAACGTCAATATTTTAACCTCAGATCACCTGCAAGAGGTTTTGAGTATTGCCAAGCATTTATCTTGACAATTGGCAGCAAGATAAAAAAATGTTATCGCTCAATGCATAAAAACTTGGAAATCAATGTCAAACTGTTTCAGTATTTTGTCGAGCATTTCAAAGAAAACAGACTTAAAAATCATACCAAATTTTTTTCTTATTCCTTATGAATCCTATAACAGAAATTCACTTGAATTTTTGATTTTTGTTAATTTGGTTAATAATGGCAAACTGTCCCCATTTACCCTGAGTTTTCAAATTTTTGGGGTAAATGGAGACAGCTTGTCATTATTAACCAAATTAACAAAAATAAAAAATTCAAGTGAATTTCTGTTATGGGAGTCATAAGGAATAAGAAAAAAATTTGGTATGATTTTTAAGACTGATTTTTTTCAAATGCGAGACAAAATACTAAATTGAAAAAAAAAATAAAAAAATTTCAATTGGTTCAACTATTATATATCTACTGCAAATTTTTTTCAAGTTTTTTCATCCCTTAAGGCCAGGCTCCTCCAAAAACCGTGTTTTTTTCAAACAAATTTTATTTATATTACAAAAAATATTTATAAATCAAAGTTTTTATAAATTAAAAGACTTATAAAAGTACTACTTGAAAAAAATTTTTTTTCTTATTTTTTCAAAATGGCGGCTCCTAAAATCGCTGCCGAAACGCGTCCTTCGTGTTGGTGGGTGACAGGATAACTCAAAAACGAATCATCTGAAAGCAAAAATCAAAACGGTTTCTTAATCTGTATCACATTGGCTATGGTGTGAACTACAATAAAATATTTTCACCAAAAAAAAACAAAATGGCAGACTTTTTAAGTTTTTTACCCTTTTTTTTCACTTTTAATTGTTTATAACTTTTGTAAATAACAATGAATATTTTTGGTTGTAGTTTACACCATAGCCAATGTGATACAGATTAAGAAACCGTTTTGATTTTTGCTTTCAGATGATTCGTTTTTGAGTTATCCTGTCACCCACCAACACGAAGGAAGCGTTTCGGCAGCGATTTTAGGAGCCGCCATTTTGAAAAAATAAGAAAAAAAATTTTTTTCAAGTAGTACTTTTATAAGTCTTTTAATTTATAAAAACTTTGATTTATAAATATTTTTTGTAATATAAATAAAATTTGTTTGAAAAAAACACGGTTTTTGGAGGAGCCTGGCCTTAATACAGTAATATATTTAAGGAAACTTTTTTCTTAAAACTTTCTTAGAAACTATACTGTCCCCATTTACCCCAAATTTTAGGAAATTTTCTAAATTTTGGGATAAATGGGGACAGTCAGTTTCATGCGTTTAAAGATTATCTAAATTTTTTTCTGCTGCATAAAATTAATTCTGGGAATGTAAAAAACAACTTAAAAAAAAAATAAACCCGCAAATATTACCTTTTAAAGGAAGAAACTTACGTAATTCGTGAAAAATAGCGATTTTGTCCCTATTTACCCCAACTGACTATATTTTATATTTATTTAATATTTAATTTAATGTTCTTAAAGATTTCAAAAAAAAAATTTTTTTTTTATTTCTGAATTATTTTTCATTTTTTATTTTTAATTTCCGAAATGGAAATTTTTGTTTTAACTTGTAATATTTTTTTTCTATTTATTTTTCTATTAATTTCATATAATATAATAGAAAAAAGGCTAAATTCGTAATAAAAAAGAATTAATATTATTTTAATAAATTAATTTAATTGTACAAAAATTTCTCTATAATTATAATAATTTTTTATATCTATATAGGTATATATATCTCTTTTATAACAGTTTTTAGTAGGCTTGGCAAGCTCGTGCGTGTATATAATTTCTTCTGCTTGAATTTGCTATAATTTTGGAACACTTCTTGGGTCATCGGACTTAAAACGTTTGTGGATTCTATTTCTTGTCATTTCAAAAGTGATTTAAGAATCATTTAAATTTTCAAAGCCTTGTGTGTGTCACAATAATTCACATTCTTCATTGAAAACAGTAACAAATTATTGTTTTTAGTTTGTCATTTTTTTTCAGTTAAAAAGGAATGTTAAACAATTTTTTTTTTTCAAAAAATTTTTTTCTACTTTTCAATTAGAACAATTTACTCAAATATTAAAAATATAATTAAATATATATATATATATATATAAATAAAATAAAAAAAATTTTCTTCTTTCAGTGAGTAAGGAATTAATGACTGAAAATAGATTTTATCTGTTCTAGGAAATTTTTTATTTGTAGGTATAGAAAAAAAAAAATTCCAACGTATAATTTTTAAAAACATGCAGTGAAAAATTTTATATTTTGCCCGTTTAAAATTTATTCTCTTTATTATTATAGTTAATAAAAATTTTTATATTTGGACGAACATTCTTGAAAATCTTGAGTATACAAATGTGCGGTTGAGAATGTACATACGACAAAAGTCTTTTGGGTGCATCTTTAGTCGAGGAATATATGTTGCTATTTTTGTCGTGGAGAAAATAGTAAAAGCGAGACAAATGGAGTAGAAAAATTCTGAGGGTTAGTGTTGGAAGCTCACAGAAGCAAGTTAATTCAGTGAGCCCACTATTTTCGGACTCCAATTCTACATATATATATATATGTATATATAAGTTATCCTTGTCCTCTAGAGCATTTTTAAATTTGGAAACTCTTTAGGAGAGATATTTTTTTCCCCCTAAAAATTATTTTTAATTTATTCACTTTTAAATTCAAAGAAAAAAATATTTATTTGTCACAGAGCCAAATAAATTTTATTTGATTTAAATAAAAAATTTTATTTCCGCCAAATATATACGTTTATTTAACTCAATTATATTATATTTGTTTCAAATAAAACATTTCTCTGGGTGAAGAGTTTAAAAATTATTTTAAATTTAAAAAAAATATATTAAAATTATTTTATATTATTATTATTATTATTATTATTATTATTATTATTATTATTATTATTGTATTATTTTTTATTATATATTATTTTATTATTATTTAAAAGGAAATAAAAATTAATAATGTTGAAAAAATTTTTAATCAATATTTAAATCAAATATAACATATAATTATTTTGTTTTGTTCAAGTTTTGGGAAGTGATCTCAGAGGAACATGGTATCGATCCAGTTGGAATCTATCATGGAGACAGTGACCTGCAACTTGAAAGAATATCTGTTTATTACAATGAGGCTTCTGGTAAGTTAGATCAAATTTTAAAACTATAATTGACAAAATTTAAATATTTTTAGTCATAAAAAGTATATGAACAACATGAAAAATATATTCATAACAATAAATATAGTTTACGAATTTAAATGAACTATTTTAAAGCATTAAAAAAATTACGTCATTATTATTAATTTATTATTAGTACTGAATAATTTTTAAATTAAATAAATAATAATTTATTATCATGGAATTAAATGTAATCATAGTTTTTTTTTTTTTTTTTTTTTTTTATTAAAACGTTATAATAAGTATAAATTTTTGAATTTGAAAAAAATTTCTCAGTATTAAAATATAGAAATTTAAGTATGTGGCTATTAATAGAATATTGTAATTATATTTGTGTGAAAAATGTGATGCCAAAACCGAAAGTTTAGAGCTCAAAGTGGGTTTATAGTGTACTCAACATTTTTTTTTTTTTTTTTTTTTTTTGTTGGTTCTTTGGATTTTCAATTTAAGAATAGAAAGTGTGCGACTTTAAAACGTGTCACAGAGAGCAAAAAAAATGTTTAAAAAACGAAACGTACTTTTGACAAAAATAGACATACACTCGATGAACGTTCTCACCTAAAACAGATTATACTTATTATAGAATACAAATAAATTATAAATATATTATGACAATAATATTTACAATATTTCAAAAAAAAAAAAAAAACTATACGACATTATTTATAATAAATTAAAAAAATATTATTTTAATTTTCGAAAATAATTTGAATTAAAAATTTTGACGTTCTTTTTTCATTTGTACAATATACACGCAACTATGAGGCCACGATTCTTGCACGTATTTCCGCCTTTCTATATATCAAATGGTCAATCGATTTTGGCAGAATGCCAATCAGTGCTTCCTAATTAATATGTGCGAATCATAAAAAGAAATTTTTTTTCTTTAATTTAATTTTAAATTTAATATGACGTACGTATTTTTTTTTATAAAGTACCCAAATTTTTGAGTTATAGATTTTTATAAGTTTCGCTTTTTCTTTCACTGTCGAAATAAATTAACGAAAAAAAAAAAAAAATTTTTTTGAAATTATTATATAAAAAATAACAATTTTCTTATAAAAGATTTTACAAAATTTTACATTTTTTAAAATAAAAAGTTCTTTGAACGCTAGGATATTTCAATATTACTCATAGAAAAGCAAACTTAAATTAATACATTTGATTTTAAAAAATAAAAGAAAAATAATTTTAAAAAACTTTCTTTTTTACTTTTACATACCTATGGAAATCGAAATTTTAAATGACAAAAATTCCAATTCATCGAATTTTAATTGATTCGAATTTTTATTTGTACGAATTTTCAATTGATAGAATTTTTCAGAACGCCGAATTTTTATTTATCCGAAATTACAAATAACCCAATAAACAATCGACAGAAAGATTTTGATCCAATTTTTAAAATTGACCAATTAGAAATTATCAAAAAAAAAAAATTGTGATTGATAAATTTTAAAAATTCGAATCACATAAAATTCAAGTAAATGAGAATTTTGTTAAATTAAAATTCACCTAAATTAAAATACTTTTAAATATAAAAAATTATGTAAAGAAATTGGCTGTAAAATAAAAATTCTGTGAAACAAAAATTCATTAGTTAAAAATTTTGTTTTATTAAAAATGAGTATAAAAAGAAAATCTGGCAAATTTTAATTCAAAAATAGAAAATTTGTGTAAAAAATAATTATTCATATTAAAATACTTTAAAATAAAAATTTTAATTAATTATTTTTATAGAAAATTCATGCACCCCGTTAAAGGTAGGTTCTAGTAAGGCAGCATCATCTATATCGAAACTAAAAAATTTTGGAAAATGTTTTACAGTATTAACATGAAAGCAAGAAAATAAAATACTTTGTCCTTGAGGATAATTAATTATTGTCAAGAAATACACCAACTAAAACTTTTTTTTAATTAAAATAATGAAAAAAAATTAATGACGATAAATTAAATATAAGCATTTTTTTACGAAAACTTTAAAAATATTTTCTCGGAAATAATAAACAAGAATGAAGTTTTCATTTGGATAATTAATAAACACTAAAAAATACCCTACTTGGAAAGATTCCCCGGAAAGTGCCCCCTGGAGGTTCTATCAGATATCCGCCGGAACTTTCAACGTAATTCCGTCGGAATTTCATCGGAGTTTCAAAGAATTTCCGATGGGATTCCGACGAGATTCCGATTAATTTTTTCAAAATTTTTAGACTCCTAATTCCGTCAGAAGTTCCAAACAGTAAACTTGGTTGTATCTTTTTCTATTGCAACGTTTTGATGCACATAAGTTATGTCAAAAAGAGATCGTTTTGTGTATCATTTTTAGATATGATACACGAAACGGTCTCATTTTTTTATGCAAAAAATTTAATCAATTTATATCAATCATGGCCGAATTGAATCGACTCAAAATTAAACGAATTTTTTTCAGATATTTTGGTAATAGTACAATTGCGGAGACCATTTCACTATATTTAATTTGAAAATGAAAATAACAGAAAATCAAAGACAATGTGCAATTCGATAATTAAAAAGTGACAGCTTATAAACATAACCTAAAATGCATGAGAAAAAATTTGTCGATAAAATCAATTTAGCCGAGCTTTTTAGAAGGTAGATGGCAGTTTTGCTTTTTATAAAAACGATTCAGAAAAAATTTAATGAAAGAAAATAGATGAGTGCTGCCATCTACCTTCTAAAAAGCTCGGCTATATTGATTTTATCGACAAATTTTTTCTCATGCATTTTAGGTTATGTTTATAAGCTGTCACTTTTTAAATATCGAATTGCACATTGTCTTTGATTTTCTGTTATTTTCATTTTCAAATTAAATAGTGAAATGGTCTCCGCAATTGTACTATTACCAAAATATCTGAAAAAAATTCGTTTAATTTTGAGTCGATTCAATTCGGCCATGATTGATATAAATTGATTAAATTTTTTGCATCAAAAAATGAGACCGTTTCGTGTATCATTTCTAAAAATGATACACAAAACGATCTCTTTTTGATATAACTTATGTGCATCAAAACGTTGCAAAGATTTGATGCAATTTTTGGTCTCAATTTGATACTTTTAGGAAAACTGTGTAATTATTTTAAAGGACAAAGCATTTTATTTTCTTGTTTTCAAGTAAATACTGTGAAAAATATTTTAAAATTTTAGTTTCGATATAGATGGTGTTGCCTTACTAGGACCTACCCTTAAGATATTTACGGTCGAAACAAATTTTCCTGGGTTTAAATGACCGAAAATGTGAAATGAAGATTAAAACACTGTCTTTTTTTGAGAGTTATTATTACACTTTTTTGCGTACATTTTTTGACTTATTAAATTATCTACTTCTTGGAGAAGTAAATTTCTAATTTAAGACACTAATAGAATGGCATATATTATATGTGCCATTCCAGGAGTTTTTTAGCACTTTTCGGAGTAACCTTTCCAAATTAAATGAAACATTTTTTTAATAATATTTATTAATATAAAGGTCCAAAAAAATCACTTTTTAAGTAAAAACAATTGTTTATTTAAAAAATACAACAATAAATAATGCAAAAAATTCACTTTTTTCCTGCAACTCCAAATAAATTGGTTTAAAGATCAAAATTTTCCTTATTTTTCAAGCTTTAATACCGCACAAGAAACATAGAGTCCGAGAAAATATTCAACTCACAATTTTTTAAACAATGTTTGTTTACTTTTTTGTATTTTATTTACTGTGAAACGTCTGCTAAAGCTGCGTGCGACGTTTGGAAGTTGTCGCTTTCCTTATTGAGCAGAAACTCATTACACTAGCGTAGTAGAAAGCATGTTGTGCGAAAAGTGAGGTTATGTTGTCATTAAACGAAACGAATAAATGTCTGGTTATCACATTGAATGGTTTTTAATTATCTACGTTGCAGTAAAAAATCATAAAAAACATTTTTGAAGGATGAAAAACCTTACTTTTCACACAACATGTTTTTTACTACGCTACGCTAGTGTAATGAGCTTCTGCTCAATAAGGAAAGCGACAACTTCCAAACGTCGCGCGCAGCTTTAGCAGACGTTTCACAGTAAATAAAATACAAAAAAGTAAACAAACATTGTTTAAAAAATTGTGAGTTGAATATTTTCTCAGACTCTATGTTTCTTGTGCGGTATTAAAGCTTGAAAAATAAGGAAAATTTTGATCTTTAAGGGGTTAGGGGTAGTCAGAGGCACGAAAAAATGAGAATTTTCAGTATTTTTTTTTGCTATTAAATAATTTTATTTTACAAAAGTAGTAATATGGTATTATTAAACAATGTTTTGACTTGAAGTCACGAAAATTTAAAAAAAAAAAAATTTTTATTTCCGAAGTTACAGCTGTTTGTGTTAACCCAGTTCCAAAAAAAGGTCCTTGCGGTGACAATCATAAGTCCTTGGAGATTAATCAGAAATCAATCGGATAAAAAAAATTAGTTTTATAAATAAATAATCCTGGGCCTGATCGAAGGATTTTTTTTTTTTTCAAAAATTAACAAAATGGCGGCCTCAGGAAATTTTTGTCTAGATTTTTGGGAAAAAATCAACAGTTAATTGGTCTTAAAAAATCGAAATTTTTCAAAAAAAAAAAAAATCCTTCGATCAGGCCCGAGTTTATTATGTATTCTAAAAGCTGTATAAATTTCATTAAAATCGACTGAGCGGTTTTCGAGTTATAGTTGTCACCCGTTCAAAAAACATAGTTTTGAGAAAAACGCGTTTAGTTTCACACTAGATTTACGTACAAAAAAACGAATTATTAAATTACTTACACCGAGTCATCTATTCCTGGGCCATATTAATTTAGGTACTACTACATATACCCAAGTCTAAGTTCATCGATGACAATAGAACCCTAAAAGCCGATTTCTTGCAGCTGACACTAGCTGCAAGCGCTCCCGAGCGCTTTAAAAGGCCCGAGCTCTCTTTGTTATTTGTCGAATAACTTAAAAACGAATTATCGGATTAACTTGAAATTTTCAGAGATTATTTTTAAGATATTTTACTTAACGAAAATGCAAAAAAAAAAAAATTTGATTTTTTGAAAATTCTGACTACCCCTAACCCCTTAAACCAATTTATTTGGAGTTGCAGGAAAAAAGTGAATTTTTTACATTATTTATTGTTGTATTTTTTAAATAAACAATTGTTTTTACTTAACCCTTTCAGTCACGCAATTCAGATAATAACTAAAACATTCAAAATGCTATTGTATTTATGGTTTTTGGGGTCGCTGATTACGAATATGAAGTCAGATTTGCAAAATATTAAAAATTCAAAATGGCGGATCCAACATGGCGGATAATTTTTTTAAAATCATTCTAATTTTCCTGAAATTTGTTACTCGGGGGTTTTCGGGGTCGCTGATTACGAATCTAAAGTCAGTTTTAAAAAATTCAAAATGGCGGATCCAATATGGCGGACGACAAAATTAAAAATTCATCCCATCGGCATGAAACTTGTTACTCGGTGGTTTTCGGGGTCGCTGATTACGAATCTAAAGTCAGTTTTTAAAAATTCAAAATGGCGGATCAAATATGGCGGACGACGAAATAAAAAATTCATCCCATCGGCATGAAATTTGTTACTCGGGGGTTTTCGGGGTCGCTGATTACGAATCTGATGTCAGTTTTTGAAAATTCAAAATGGCGGATCGAATATGGCGGACGACGAAATTAAAAATTCATCCAATCGGCATGAAACTTGTTACTCGCCATATTGGATCCGCCATTTTGAATTTTTAAAAACTGACTTTAGATTTGTAATCAGCGACCCCGAAAACCCCCGAGTAACAAGTTTCATGCCAATTGGATGAATTTTTAATTTCGTCGTCCGCCATATTAGATCCGCCATTTTGAATTTTTAAAAACCGACTTCAGATTCGTAATCAGCGACCCCGAAAACCCCCAAGTAACAAGTTTCATGCTGATTAGATGGATTTTTTAAAAAGTCGTCCGCCATATTGGATCCGCTATTTTAAATTTCGCAAAATTCGTAAATTTTGCAAAAATTTTGAAAATATAACATCGATTTTGTAAATATTCGTAATCAACGAGCTCAAAAACTCCCAGGAAATAATTTTTTAGCGAGTCCGATTAATTTTTAATTTTTTCATGCGCCATATTAGATCCACCATTTTCAATTTTCAAAATTTTTCAATTCTGATATTATATTCGTAATTTGCGACCCTTAAAACCCCTAGTTAGTGATTGTCAAGCAAATATGATGGATTTTTATATTTTTTTCAGCCTTACCAAAAGGTGGTTAATATATTGACCACTGTGACTGAAAGGGTTAAAAAGTGATTTTTTTGGACCTTTATATTAATAAATATTATTAAAAAAATGTTTCATTTAATTTGGAAAGGTTACTCCGAAAAGTGCTAAAAAACTCCTGGAATGGCACATATATATTATAACCGAACAGAAACACTAATGAACTCCCTTGTGTTTTTCCGCAGTGGCTACAGCTCATAGCGGTGGAAAATATGTGCCCCGTGCAATTCTCCTCGATCTTGAGCCAGGAACAATGGACGCAGTACGTTCAGGAGCATTTGGAAAACTCTTTCGTCCCGATAATTTTGTTTTTGGTCAATCAGGCGCTGGTAATAATTGGGCAAAAGGTCACTATACCGAAGGTGCAGAATTAGTGGACTCAGTACTTGACGTTGTTCGAAAAGAATGTGAAAATTGTGATTGCCTTCAGGGCTTTCAATTGACCCATTCGCTTGGTGGTGGTACCGGTTCTGGAATGGGAACTCTTCTTATTTCAAAAATTCGCGAAGAATATCCCGATAGAATTATGAACACCTATTCGGTGATGCCATCGCCAAAGGTTTCCGATACTGTCGTTGAACCCTACAATGCAACCCTATCGGTTCATCAACTCGTTGAGAACACTGACGAAACATATTGTATCGATAATGAAGCCCTTTATGATATTTGTTTCCGTACACTCAAGGTTTCCAATCCATCGTACGGTGATCTTAATCATTTGGTGTCATTGACCATGTCGGGTGTCACCACTTGTCTTCGATTTCCAGGTCAATTGAATGCTGATCTTCGTAAACTTGCCGTCAATATGGTTCCATTTCCTCGGCTACATTTCTTTATGCCTGGCTTTGCACCTCTTACATCGAGATCAATGCAACAATATTCGGCGCTCTCGGTGCCCGAATTGACACAACAAATGTTTGATGCAAAAAATATGATGGCGGCTTGTGATCCAAGACATGGTAGATATTTGACGGTAGCGGCAGTATTTCGTGGTAGAATGTCAATGAAAGAGGTTGACGAACAGATGCTTAGTGTTCAAAATAAAAATAGTTCATATTTCGTTGAATGGATACCTAATAATGTGAAGACGGCTGTTTGCGATATTCCACCAAAGGGATTGAAAATGTCTTCAACATTCATTGGAAATACAACGGCCATACAGGAATTATTCAAGAGAATTTCAGAACAATTCACTGCTATGTTTAGGAGAAAGGCTTTTCTACATTGGTACACTGGTGAGGGAATGGATGAAATGGAGTTTACCGAAGCAGAATCGAATATGAATGATTTGGTCTCGGAATATCAACAGTATCAGGAAGCCACAGCTGAAGAGGATTTTGAAGTTGAAGAGGGTGGTGATGATTTTGAAACATGTGAACAAGAGTAAAAATTGCATTAAATTCGGTGGAATTGAAGATGTTTAGCGTATTCTCAAGTTTCATGTTTGTGTTTATCCTGCTAAGATGAACAATGTTAATAAGCAAAATTTTTTATATTTTAGAAGAGTCGACTGAAATGAATTTTTATATGGCATTTGATTTTATTATAGAAATGTAGCACACTTAATTGAAATTGAAAAAGAAATATAGCTACAAAAATTCTGAGCCACCTACCATTTGTCGATAATGTAGATCGCGGTCTTTCCGATAAATTTAAATCCGCATTAAGGTTCGGTTGGTACATCATCGGTAATGTAGATATTTATAATGTTCTGTTAACATCAGTCGGTAAAGTCACTTTCTAAATTATACACCTGATGGTAAATGCCTCAGAATCAATGAATCTATAAAACTTTTTTCAAAGTATTCGACTAATTGACGCAAAAAAATTGTCAAAGTTGAAATTATCAGGAAATTGTAAACGAGAAAAATCGTTCTTGAAAAAAGTCTGCCTCCGATGTTTTTTTAAGTTTCGAATTGCGAGGGACCATTTTTTCAAAAAATTTACTTTCCTGATAAAATGATAATAATTTAATATGAGGGACTACCAAAGGGCATCAACCAAAAAGACTTAAGAAACTGGTGATTCTGATTAAGATTTTGAGAAATATTTTATTTGATAATAATTATTTACGGATCAAAAAGTGATGAGGAGATTTTTTTTTCAATATTTGTAAGAATATAGGGAAATATATTATATATATTATATTGTCATTATTAAGGAATATATAGTTGTAATATTTCCAAAGAAAGAAAAATATCAAAAATTCTGGAAAGTTTGAAAATATTAAACAATTTTTTAATTATTTGGAAAATATTTCCTGTGACAATATATTTGTACTGTATAAGCAATACCAATTCTTTATTGGCATATACATTTAAAAAGTATGTAGTTTTAAATTAATAATAATTAATATATATTAAGAAGTTTATAATTTGACAGGCTTTGATGTATTGTTATAAGATTAGATAAATTTTTTGAAAAAGTTTGTATTTCAATTTTACTGTATAAGAAAGAAAATAAAGAATCTCAATGGAACAGTTGTTGTTCCCTATTCCTAAAAAAAAATTTCCCTATTTTTCTGTATTTTGCAAAAAAAACAGCATAATTTTTATTTTTGCTTATTTATTATTTTCAATTAAAGTTTATCCATATTGTAATTTGGTAAAAAAAATTTTTTCATCCAAACGAAAAAAAATACGTGTCGTTTAAAAAGCTTTGAAAAAATTGAGAAAAAAATTAGTTTCAAACTCCGACAATGTTTAGCCTGCCCGATTTGAAATTAATTTGGTTTACTTAATTTTATATTAAAGATTCTATTAATATGACAAAAAATATATTTTAATATAAGAAGTTTGTAATTTAACAGGCTTTGATATATTATATAAAAGATTACATATAAATTTTTTCAAATAGTTTGTATTTCAGTTTTACTGAAAGGAAATAAAAGAAATTCCGTGAAAAAGTTTTGTAATTAAAAAACAAAATCTTATTTGCAATGAAATAGAATTTATATATACAATTTGAGAAATAAATTACATTTTTCTTTTTTTTTTTTTTTTATTCATGTTCGTCGTCATCATCGTCATCATCATCGCCATTATTGTCATTTTGATTACCCTCTGTCTCTTCATCATCATCATCAAGACCCTCATAATTTGTTCCACCCTCTTGATGCTGTTGATATTCAAATATAAGTTCTTGAATTTTATTTTGTGCTTCAATAAAATCATCTTCTTGTATTCCTTCTCCTAAATACCAATGGAGATAAGCTTTTTTACGAAACATTCTTGTAAATGAAACGTCAACTCTTCGAAATAATTCTTGAATTGCAGTCGTATTTATAATTGCTGTTGCACTTGTATTTAAACCACGTGGTGGAATATCGCACATTGCAACTTTTACCGAATTTGGAAGCCATTCCATAAAACATGAACTAGTCTTGTCTCGAATTTTCCATATTTCTTCATCTATTTCCTAAACAATTTTTTTAAAATTAATTAATATTGTAAAACAATTAAATAATTTCCTTATTTCACGCCAAATTACACATCATTTTATCATTTATATTTCCAAATTTTTTTTCTTTTAGTACTACTAATTGAGGATCATTTTTATGATTTTTTTTTTTTTCAATTTTCAAAACAACCGTTAAAACGAGATATGAATTATTCAAAATTTTTAGAATTTAAATGATTTTTTAGGGCCGCATGAATGTCAAATAAAAATCATTGATTAGAATTTTTATTTCAAAGTATTTTATATTAAAAATAATTATAGTTTTTAGATCAATTTTCACTTTTCGAATTAAAATTTAACAGATTTTCTTTTCATACCAATTTTAATGAAACCCTATTGAAAATCCCCACATGGGAAACCACATGGGAAACCACATGGGATCCTATGTCAAAAACTATGTAAAACCCCATTCCCCACATGGGAAACCACATGGGATCCCATATAAAAACTCATGGGAAATTGGGACAGGAATTGGCATAGGAAAATATCAAAACGAGGTTCCTCCATGTCATTTCCTATGTCAAATCCCATGTCAAATATCATGTTAAATACCATGTTAAATACTAATTGAGATCCTTTATCACTTTTTTGAAAAATTTTCCCATGTCAAACCCCATGTCATTTCCCAAGTAAAAACCTTTATCATTTTTTTGAAAAATTTTCCCATGTCATTTCCCATGTTAAATATTTATCATTTTTTTGAAAAATTTTCCCATGTCAAATCCTCTTTCGCCTTATCGAAAATACCCACATAGGAAAGCATATGGGAATCCACATGGGAAATGGAATACGATTTCATGTGCATTCTTCCAAATGATAAAACAAATAGATTTAAGCATAGGAAATCATATAAGATTTCATATAGATTCTGAAATTTCAACCTAAGATTTCACATGGATTTACATATAGGAAACGATATAGGATTTTATTCGGGAATTTTTTAGTTGGCTGCTTTATGCAGGCGGCAGTTTACAAAAAAAAATTAATTATTTGATTAAATATCAAATAATAATACTTCAACTCATCTGAAAATAAAAAAAAGTTTACTTTACTTCTGCCTTAGACTCTCAGCTTTTATAGTATTCCAGACTGATCTCAACTGTGAGAGAAAATATTTTCACCATCTGGTGGTGAAACAATGAAACTATAATGACGATCAACATCTATATTGAAATTTCCTATGTCATTTCCCATGTGAAATCCTCTTTCATTTATTCGAAAAATTTTCCCATGTCATTTCCCATGTGAAATCTTATCATTTTTTGGAAAAATTTTCCCATGTCATTTCCCATGTGAAATCCTTCATCATTTTTTTGACAAATCCTCTTTCGCCCTATCGAAAATACCCACATGGGAAAGCATATGGGAATCCACAGAGGAAATGGAATACGATAAAGGATTTCACATGGCAAATGACATGAGCTTTGACGTGGGAATTGATATGGGAAAATTTTTCCAAAAAATAATAAAAGATTTCACATGGGAAATGACATGGGAAAATTTTTTGAAAAAAATGATAAAGGAATTCACATAGGAAATGACATGGGAAAATTTTTCGAAAAAATGATAAGATTTCACATGGGAAATGACATGGGAAATGACATAGGAAATTTCAATATAGATGTTGATCGTCATTATAGTTTCATTGTTTCACCACCAGATGGTGAAAATATTTTCTCTCACAATTGAGATCAGTCTGGAATACTATAAAAGCTGAGAGTCTAAGGCAGAAGTAAAGTAAACTTTTTTTTATTTTCAGATGAGTTGAAGTATTATTATTTGATATTTAATCAAATAATTAATTTTTTTTGTAAACTGCCGCCTGCATAAAGCAGCCAACTAAAAAATTTCCGAATAAAATCCTATATCGTTTCCTATATGTAAATCCATGTGAAATCTTAGGTTGAAATTTCAGAATCTATATGAAATCTTATATGATTTCCTATGCTTAAATCTATTTGTTTTATCATTTGGAAGAATGCACATGAAATCGTATTCCATTTCCCATGTGGATTCCCATATGGTGTCCCATGTGGATTCCCATATGCTTTCCTATGTGGGTATTTTCGATAAGGCGAAAGAGGATTTGACATGGGAAAATTTTTCAAAAAAATGATAAAAGATTTCACATGGGAAATGACATGGGAAAATTTTTCAAAAAAATGATAAAGGTTTTTACTTGGGAAATGACATGGGGTTTGACATGGGAAAATTTTTCAAAAAAGTGATAAAGGATCTCAATTAGTATTTAACATGGTATTTAACATGATATTTGACATAAGATTTGACATAGGAAATGACATGGAGGAACCTCGTTTTGATATTTTCCTATGCCAATTCCTGTCCCAATTTCCCATGAGTTTTTGTATGGGATCCCATGTGGTTTCCCATGTGGGGAATGGGGTTTTACATAGTTTTTGACATAGGATCCCATGTGGTTTCCCATGTGGTTTCCCATGTGGGGATTTTCAATAGGGAACAAAATCATTATCTAATGAATTTTTGTTTGACAGAATTTTTATTTCACAGTAATTTTCTTTAAATTACTTTTTATTTTAATGAGTAGAATAGCGAGATTCCTTGTACCAAACAAAATCATTTCTCCAAAATTTTAACCCAAAATCATTTTTTATTTCAGAGAAAGTTTCAAACCACAAAAAAAACATCCTTTGTCCACATATACCCTTAACAGAATTTTCATTCAATCAAATTTTTAAATAACAGAAATCCAAATTCACCGAATTTTCATTTGTTCGAAATTACAAATGACCGAACAAAGAATCAACAGGAAGATTTTGGCGCAATTTTTAAAATTGACAAATCACGATTTTCTTGATAATTTCTAATTGGTCAATAATTTTAAAAATTGCGCCGAAATCTTTCTCCCGATTATTTGCTCGAACAAAAGAAAATTCGGCATCTTAATTTATAGAATAATCATGAACCCCATTTTTTAATTTTGAATGCACATGACTTCCTTAAAAATGCATCAATTAATTTTTTTTTTTAATTGTGTATTATAGAAGACTAATATTTTTAACAATCTAACGGTGAGGGAAAAATCATGGAAAAGTCAGGGAATTACTTTAATTTTCTGGAATTTTTTAAGAATAAATTAAAAAATTTTTTTTACTTCTTTCCCAAAGCAAATGCAAATTAAAAAGTTGGCATTCACGCTCAATTATTAAGCATGTGATATATCTTATATTCATTATGTAAACAATTATTTACTACTATTTATTGAATCTAATAAATGATTTTTTAAGCTTAGATAACAATAAATTAATTTTTTTCAGTGAAATATTTGGTTTTTTAATACCTATATAAAAATTATTTAATACAATTTTATTTTATCGGTTCAACTTCAAATAAAGTAAATTATTCATTAATACGAATAATTTATTATTTAACCCACATTTAACTTATAAAAATTTTTACGGCGTCAAATCTTAAATTATCGAATTTCTATTTAGCAAAATTGTATAAAGTGGATTTTATATTATGCAAAATTTTCAATTTCCAATTTAACTAAAATTCGATTTAAAAGAATTTCTATTTAGCAGAACTCTTATAAAGCATTTTTTCTATTACTTTTTAAAAATTTTAAATTAATATAATTTCAATTTAACAAAATTTATGTCTATAAAAATTGAGAAAAAAAAACTAAGTAGAATAATTTTTCTTAAATGAGAATTCTGTTAAATAAGAAATAGTTCGAATTAAAATTTTCTTTATAATAAAAAATTTTCTATAATTAAGAATTTTTTAAAATAGAAATTCTGTTAATTGTGGATTTATTCAATGACAATTCTGTTAAGTAAATATTTTGATAAATCAAAATTTACTAAAATAACAATTGTGTTAAAAAATTTTTTCTTTGTGCAATTTTTCTTGACATAAATTTCGTTAAATTGAAATTGTATTAATTTGAAATTCGATGTACTAAAAAATCTGCTTTATATAATTTTACAAAATAAACATTTGATAATTTAAGATTTGACGCCATAAAAATTCTTTTAAATTAAATGTTGAGAATATTTATACGTCCAGAATTAGTTTATTTATTTCACTTAAATATTTTATTTTTCACAAATCATTATTTATTTGGTTCAAATACATATATGAAATTAGTGAATAATAAGACAGGTAAATGATTTAATTGTATCAAAATAAATTTTATTTGATCAAAATAAAAAATTTTTTATGTAATTTAAGGCCAGGAAATTTTTTTTCCCAAGCAGTTGTTAGACACCCTGTTTAAATTATTGTAATTTTTATATCAGTAAAAAAGTTTCCTAAAATTTTGCCTATTAGATTTTTAAATTATGAAAATATATTTTACCTTGGAAGAGAGATTGCCACGAAAAATAATACCAACAGTTATAAATCGTCCCTTTCGTGGATCACAAAATGCAAACATATTATTGGCTTCAAATATTTGACGCGTTAATTCCGTAGCTGTTTCCATTCTATATGAACCGGCATTGCGTGTCATTAATGGCACAAATCCAGGTACAAAAAAATGTAATTTTGGAAATGGTACCATATTGACGAGTAATTTTCGAAGGTCCATATTTAATTGGCCAGGAAATCTTAGACTTGTTGTAATTCCGGCCATGCAATTTGATATTAAATAATTCATATCGGGATATGTTGGTGATGCAATTTCCATATTTTTCGTCAATATATGATACAATGCTTCATTGTCAATGCAAAAAGTTTCGTCTGTTGCCTCAGTCAATAGGCTCAATGTTAAAATTGCATTATAGGGCTCAACAATTGTATTCGAAACTTTTGGCGATGGTATCACTGAATAACTTTTTACAATTCTATCGGGATAGTCTTCTTGTAAAAGTGTCATGAGACGAGTGCCCATTCCTGATCCAGTACCACCTCCAAGAGAATGAATCACTTGAAATCCTATAATTTTATACAAGCAAAATTTCAGTAATAATAATAAATTATTTTTTCTTATTTTCGTAAATTTTTATGAAATTGATAATTTGGGTTCCTTTAAGGGTTAAAATAAAAAATTCCAAGTATTTTTGAAAAATTCAAAATATTTTTCAAAATATTGCAAATATAAATTTTTTGTAATTTTTTTTTTTTTTTTTTTGATTTATTATAACATCCGCAAATTTTAACCAATTTTGATAACTTTGGATAAAATAACAAAAATCAGTGAGCCGACATTTATGAAGGTCGACATTTTATTTGATCGAAAATCTAAATGGTCGACATTTTATTTGGTCGAAATTCTAAATTATCGACATTTAAAGTGGTCGAAATTTTATTAGTTATAGATATTTTGTTTGGTAAATATTCTAAATGAACGACATTTAATTTGGTCGATATTTTAAAAACTCAACACTTTTTTAGCTAGACGAGTTTCCTTTCTATGTTGTTTGTCGGTAAAGTACATTGAAATTTTGCGGGAAATTTGAAATTATTGATGTAAATAATAATAACAACATAGAGAGGAAACTCGTATAGCTAAAAAAATGTCGAGCTTTTAAAATATCGACCAAATTAAATTTCGATGGATATAAAATTCGATCCTTTTAAATTTCTATCATTTAGAATATCGAACAAATAAAATATCAACTACTATTGTGGATCATTTAGAATATCGACCAAACAAAATATCGAACTAATAAAATTTCAACCACTTCAAATGTCGATCATTTAGAATTTCGACCAAATAAAATATCGACTAAATAAAATGTCGACCATTTAAAATACCGACCATTTAAAATTTCGACCAAATAAAATATCGACTTAATGTAATTCGATCAATTAAAATTTCGAACTTTTTAATTTTTGGGAAAAATCATGCACCTCAAATCAGTGATCATTTGACCCGGACTTTTTCTTCAGATCGCGCCTGAATCATTCACTAATTTAAATTTTTAATACATTGGAAAATAATGTACACACATGTTGAGTTTGTTATTGTTAGTTAATTATTATGGAAAAAAAAGGAAACAATTTTACTTACCTTGAATTAAATCACAATTTTCTGCCTCGAGTCGAATCATGTCCAGCGTTTCATTGGCCAATTCTGCACCTTCAGTGAAATAACCTTTTGCAAAATTATTCGCCGCACCATTGTGCGAACTAATAAAACAGTCTGGTGAAAAAATTCTCCCATTCGGTCCAGATTTGACCATTTCCAAACTTCCTGGATCAAGATCAACATTCAATGATCTTGGAACATATCTACCGCCTTGGTTTTTTTTTATATTAAGAAAAAAAATTATATTTATTATAGTCAATTGAATTTTTAATAATTTTATTTTTGTAATAAAATGCAAAAAAAAAAACAATTTTTTTACCCATTCCTTGCTTGAAAAAAACACTGATGTATTGTAATTGTACATCAGAAGTTCCAATATAATTTCCATCAGCATTTACTCCATGCTCGTCAGTAAGTACTTCCCAGAACTGAAAAAATTATTCATATAATATATTTATTACAATAAATTAAAATTGCAATTCAATAAAATTAACTTAATTTCGAATATTTAATAGATACATTAGAAAAAATCGAAATTAGATATATAAAAATAACAATTTCAATTTTGATATTCATATATTTACCTTTGATCCAACGCTATTTCCGCATTGACCTATTTGAATATGAATCATTTCTCTCATGTTGAATAAATATTTATATTTTTATTTGCAAATTTAGAAAATATGAAACATGAAATTAATTTTCAAGCCAAAAAAAAAGTTAAAAATTTTTTATGCCAAAAATATGAAAGATAGAGGTTAAAAATTAGTTTCTAAAAAATGGAGAAAATAAAACAAAAAAGAGTAGTCATATTGATTTATTATCACGTTTGAAGAGAAATCGCGCTTATATTAAATCAATATTTTATCAACTGAAGCAAAATAAAAAAACAAATGCGTTTTCATTTACATAATGTACATTTTTCTTTTTTAAAAAATAATATATTATTTGAAAAAAACATATCACTTTTAGAGAAACTCACATCCGATATTTATTCATTTAAATATATACAAAAATTAATTTGACAATTTTACATTCTTCATTTTGATATCTGGTTTGATTTTAAAAAAATCAGTAATTTCCCTAAAAAATCATTAATTAAAATTGGGACGCATGATTATGTTCTAAAAATCATTATAGTCATACTTTACATTTTATCGAATTTTATTTGTCCTAATTAGTTTTGAGCCGAATTTTTATTTGTTCGAAATAGCATTTGGCATAATAGGCATTTTAAAGAATTTTTATTGGGTAGAATTTCATTGAATAGAATTTTCCTTCAGATGAATTTTCATTTGTTCGAATTTTATTTGATATAATTTCTATATAATCGATTTTTCATACTACAGAATTTTTACTTAACCGACAAATCATTTAATAGAATTTCTAATTGATAGAATTTTCATTTGTCCGAATTTTCAAATGGCCAAACAAACAATCGACAGAACGATTTCGGCGCGATTTTTAAAATCAACCAATCAAAAATTATTTATAAAATTGTGATTGGTTGATTTTAAAAATCGCGCTGAAATCTTTCTGTCGATTGTTTGTTCGGCCATTTGAAAATTCGGACAAATGAAAATTCTATCAATTAGAAATTCTATTAAATGATTTGTCGGTTAAGTAAAAATTCTGTAGTATGAAAAATCGATTATATAGAAATTATATCAAATAAAATTCGAACAAATGAAGAATCTATTCAATGAAATTCTACCCAATAAAAATTCTTTAAAATGCCTATTATGTTAAATGAAAATTCGAGCAAATAAAAATTCTGACAAATAAAAAATCGCTTTGATGTAAATTATGCCAAATGCTATTTCGAACAAATAAAAATTCGGCTCAAAACTAATTAGGACAAATAAAATTCGATAAAATGTAAAGTATGACTAATGATTTTTAGAACATAATCATGCGTCCCTTAAAATTTTGTTTCTAAAGAATTTTATTAGATGTATGACATATCAATTTATTTTTTATTATAGATATAATTATTTTTTAGGCGAATTATTATTTTTCGAATTAACCTTTGACAGAATTTCTTTTTAACCAAATTTTTACTTTAACAAAATTTTTAAGTATGTACTGAATTTTTGTTTGACACAGTTTTTGAATCATTTCAAATTCTGTTGAATGAGAATTCTGCTAAATTAATATTCGGTTAAAATAGACTAAAAAAAATAGTTGGGTAAAAAGAAATTATATGAAATAAAATTTTTGAACCTGAAAATGGAGGTTGAGTACAACTTCGTTTAAAAAGTAATTTTATTAAATGCTATTTCAAAAAATAAAAATTCATCTATTATAATCATTTTATCTAATAAAATTCTTTAAAATGAAAATTTTAATAATTTTTATGGAAAATTCATGCATCCCGATGGAGGTTATTATATCAAATTTGTTAAAAATTTTTAAAATATTTTTTTTTATTTTATCTATTGAAATTTTTAAATTTAATAACTTTTAGAAGATAAAATATATTGTATGTGAGCTGTGCATAAAATTTAGAATTTTATGATTATTTTATTTTTTGTATTCATGAACATTTCGTGATTTTCATGCAATTTTCGTATAAACTTTCAAATATTTATTACACTGCGCTTACAATATAAACTTTTTTTGTAAAATTAATTTCAATTTCTGCATACTATTGTTGTGAAAAACAAGAATTTTTAACAATGAGAAAACTATTAACGTTAAATATTTTTTGGATACTTTTGTCTGCGTCAATTGCTGATGACATTGTTTGGAATGAGACGGTAAGTTTATAAAAAATTCAAAAATTTTAATTTACTTATTTTTTTTGGGTCGCTAATTACCCAGTGGGCACACTTATTCAAAAGACCTACCAAAGATGTCTTTTTGCGGACGTGTTTTGGACTTGTGACAAAAGGCGTCTTTGAGACTTCTTATAAATACGCCCTAAGAATTTTCTATGTCTTGGCCATTAGATTTCTTTAAGATGTCTTAAAGACGTCTTTTGTTTCAAATTTTGAAAATAGAAAAATTTTCATAAACAGATAATGTTATTTTCTAAGTTCAACTTGAACTTAGAAACTGCTGAAGATAAAAGTTATAGGAATTTTTCTAAGTTAAATATTTATTTCATTGACCCAGGCGGAAATTTACAAACGGCGCGGAACCCAGTCCGTACCGACGTCGGGTCGGCGGTGCTGGATTTAAACCGGCAAGCAACGCGCCGGGACCTGGCATCATTTCGAAAGATGACTTGCCCAGTATCCGGCTGGGCAACCGGCACGGTACAGGCATCTTACCGCCCAGCGACCGACCGCGCACCGGCGTTCTTTCGCATAGCATCCGTCTGGGTACTGTCATTTTACCGAAGGTTCCGTGTTGGGTCCATGCGCGTGGAACATAGCCTTTGATGACCTTCTGGAGACTCTTGAGCAATTAATCGGAAAGTCATTTGCAGTCTATGCAGATGACTTGACGGTAATTGTCTCTGGAAACTCCAGAAAGGAACTCCAGGAGAGAGCTCAAGATGTGGCCGACGTAGTCTCTCAATGGTGTGGCGCTAACGGTGTCCAGTTGTCAAAGAGCAAAACGGAGATGGTGTACCTCAAGTTCAACCCCCCTCGAAACAGAAGACGCTCGAACAAGAACAGAGAGTGGAGATACCCCTCTGATATGAGCAAACGGGCCCCTATCGTCAAATTGGGCACCAAGTCAATCTCACTAAAGAAAAGTGTTCGATTGCTTAATGTTCATATTGACGAGGGGCACAAGGTTACGACGCACTGTACGCTGACAGCCGACAAACTTAAACGACAGATCCCACACAGCACAACATCTTACACCAGGCCTACAGCAGGCTTACATGTAAGGTTTGTAAGGTAACATCGTAAGCCCATAGTAGACTTACAGTAAACCTAAAATGTCCGCCTTACAGTAAGCTTACATGGTAGGGTCGAGGTAAGCTTACATGGTAGGGTCGAGGTAAGCTTACACGGTAAGGTCGAGGTAAGCTTATGAGTAAAGGCTGTGGTAAGGTTATTATTAAGTTGTAAGGTTGAGGTAAGGTTGTGGTAAGCTTACAAGGTAAGGCAAGTTATATTCAAATAATAATATTAATAATAAATAAATATTCAATAAAAAAATTTTTCTTTTGCCTTATTCTATTTTGGGAACCTATCATTTCGCAGAAAGTTTTGAAAACAAATTTGGGAGGAGTAGGATTCGAACCCGGGACCGAAGTATATACCTAACAACCTAACCAACTGAGCTAAACGGGGAACTGACAATGAGAAAAGTAATCTTACTTTTAAAGTGGAACCAAGAAGATAATCAACTCCTTAAAAGCAAGATTACTTTTCTCATTGTCAGTTCCCCGTTTAGCTCAGTTGGTTAGGTTGTTAGGTATATACTTCGGTCCCGGGTTCGAATCCTACTCCTCCCAAATTTGTTTTCAAAACTTTCTGCGAAATGATAGGTTCCCAAAATAGAATAAGGCAAAAGAAAAATTTTTTTATTGAATATTTATTTATTATTAATATTATTATTTGAATATAACTTGCCTTACCTTGTAAGCTTACCACAACCTTACCTCAACCTTACAACTTAATAATAACCTTACCACAGCCTTTACTCATAAGCTTACCTCGACCTTACCGTGTAAGCTTACCTCGACCCTACCATGTAAGCTTACCTCGACCCTACCATGTAAGCTTACCTCGACCCTACCATGTAAGCTTACCTCGACCTTACCGTGTAAGCTTACCTCGACCTTACCGTGTAAGCTTACCTCGACCCTACCATGTAAGCTTACCTCGACCCTACCATGTAAGCTTACCTCGACCTTACCGTGTAAGCTTACCTCGACCTTACCGTGTAAGCTTACCTCGACCCTACCATGTAAGCTTACCTCGACCCTACCATGTAAGCTTACCTCGACCTTACCGTGTAAGCTTACCTCGACCTTACCGTGTAAGCTTACCTCGACCCTACCATGTAAGCTTACCTCGACCCTACCATGTAAGCTTACTGTAAGGCGGACATTTTAGGTTTACTGTAAGTCTACTTTGGGCTTACGATGTTACCTTACAAACCTTACATGTAAGCCTGCTGTAGGCCTGGTGTAAGATGTTGTGCTGTGTGGGATGGCTGCCATCCGACGGGCCGCTCCCAGCAAATGGGGATTACACTACCGGACGTTAAATACGATTTACCGGGGTGTTTTCCCCGCTATTGCTGGATACGCAGCGGCTGGATGGGCAGACCTTGCGACACAGACGGACTTACGGAAACTAAGGACAGCACAGAGACAGTCACTGCTGACGATGACTAGGTCATACTCTACACCATCGAGTAGCGCGCTATGCGTGCTCGCTGGGGTTTTGCCCGTAGGTCTCCTTCTGCGTGAAAGACTAGCGCTGTATAGCATCCGCAGACGATGGGGATTCCGACACGGCAATATGTCCGTGTACGAGGAGGAGATAGGAAGAGGGATCAAGGGTAGGGTGAGAAGAGAAACCCTCCGTATGTGGCAGGAGAGTTGGACAAACGACGCTGTCGGAAGGGTGACGCACACGCTGATCCCCGACGCCTACCGAAAGTTTGCAACTTTTCAGGATAATTTTCTATATTGCTCTAAAGTTAACATAAAAAAGGATGTTTTTATCACTCAAACCTTTTTTTAATAAAAAATTAAAATGCTGGAGTATTTCCGACTTCGGATTCGTAATCTGCGTAAAAGAAACCTATGAAAATCATGTATCATTTTATTTTTCTAACTTATAAATGTTAATAAAAAAAACATAAATGAATCCGAGGGGGAATTTACTAGTTAAAAACGTGTACACTTGAATACCGGTAATACACCTCATATTACTCTTATTACTAAGTACGTCTTCAACGGCTGAGGTGCTTAAGGTGCAATGCTTCAAGCGCAAGGTATCAGACCAATTAAACAAGAACAGACTTATGCAAAATACATGGACTTAATTTAAGGTGTAAAAAGTTTGATTCATTTCATTGACAAATAAGTTCCTAAACTTTGTAAAGGATTTTATTTGTCTAGGATGGCTCCGACACTTAAGGCGTAGAGTTTCAACCCAACGTATCGCAGGTTCGATCCCAGGTCCGGGAAGATTTTTTCATTCCTGATTTCTGTATACGCGTATAGAAATAAAACAAAAGTCAAAATTTAAATAAGATAAGATAATAATTAACCCACATAGCACAACTTCTTGCTGTGAGGTTACTATAAGGATATCTGTAGGGTTTGTAAGGTTACCGTGTAAGCCTGCAGTAAACTTGAGGTAATCTTAAAACTTCCGCCTTACAGTAAGCTTACACAGTAAAGCTTAGGTAAGCTTACACAGAAAGGTCGTGGTAAGTTTACGTGGTAAGGTTGTGGTAAGCTTACACGGTAAGGTTGTTGTAAGCTTTCCGTAAGGTTACTGTAAGGTTGCTGTAAGGTTACTGTGAACATAAAGTAATATGAAAATATATTAAAAATAATTACATTATAATATATATTATATCATAAATTTTTTTTTTTAAATTATATATTTGGTAAAGTACTTCATGAACCCCAATAGGGTTTGTTAAATAAAATTTACTGCGCAGCCGTATGTACCATAGAAAACTACTGCGCATAAATATTAATAAAATTTATTTATTAACAACATTCTATGTTTACAGTAACCTTACAGCAACCTTACATCAACCTTACAGTAATCTAAAAAGAAGCTTACAGCAACCTTACCGTGTAGGCTTACCACAACCTTACCACGTAAACTTACCACGACCTTACTGTGTAAGCTTACCTTAGCTTTACTCTGTAAGCTTACTGTAAGGCGGAAGTTTTAAGTTAACCTCAAGTTTACTGTAGGCTTACACGGTAACCTTACAAACCCTACAGATATCCTCACAGTAACCTCACAGCAAAAAGCCGTGCTATGTGGGAATGTATTTTAACTTCGAAAATATTCTGAAGGAAATATATTGATGTCCTAAAGACGTCCTTTTCGAATGTCTTTTAGAAGTCTTTTAGTCAGACATTAAACGTCTTAAAAATGTTCTTTGGATGTCTTTATGATGTCTTCGAAACATTATTGCTTCCTCGTGGAGGAAGCTTTGTAGTCCTTTCGTTTATAAAACTTTTCAAAGTGGCGGAAACAAATTTTTTTCTTTATAGAAACATGTTATATGAGATCCTGATCAATTGTCCGGATGTATGCATGTGTGTGTGTGTGGATCCCTTTTTTGTTTAGAAGATAACTTTAACAGGTTTTAATGGATTTAGATAAAATTTGGTAGGCTCATTTATCATATTAATATCTCAAATCTGACCAAAGGATTTTGAAAAATACCAAAAAAAAAAATTTTATCGTCTTTTTTTCCAAAAAATTTTTTTTAATCGAAAAAATTTTTAAATAGAAAAATTTAAGGTTATATATAATAAAATCGTATTCCTTACGTCAAGACGAATCGATCGATATATATAAAGTATACATTTGAGGTAAATTTAAAGAATTAATGAAAGATAAAAAATCAAAAATTCACATTTTGGCAATAAAATTTTGCATTCTCCACGAGGAAGCAAATTTTTTTGCTGATCGTAAAGAGGAAGCAAAATGTTCATGTAATGAACATCTGAATTTACAACTTGTTATCAAAGTCCCAGGATGTCCGCAGACAAAAACAGACGTCTCGGTGCCCACTGGGCGAGTAACCCCTTAAATAAAAAATTAGTTAGAGTTACATTTTTATTTATACTTCTTTATTGTTTCTTTATTACGTTTTCTACACTGAGAAAAAAAATTTAGTGTTTGCAACAAAATTGTTTGGTTAGGCAATTTTGGTTCTTGTAGCCAAATTTTGGTTGGCTAAAACAAAGTCGTAGAGTTATCTCATCCGAACATTTGGTTAGGCCAACAAAATGATTTCGTTAAACATTTTTAAATTCCAACCAAAATTTGGTTTCGACAACAAAATAATTTGGTTAACACAACAAAATAGTTTGGTCTAAAAAACCAAATGATCGTTTGTTGTCCTAACCAAAATTTGGTTGCGACAACCAAATAATTTGATTCGCTCTCAGCTCATAGCTTAAGAGAACAGTTAGCTTAAATTTCTTACAAGGATGGGTAGTCCAGTGGTTAGAGCTCCCGACCTTCAGTTTTAAAACAGAGGTTCGATCCCAGGCGGAGATGCGACTTTTCAAAGTCCACAAATATTTCAATTAGATAAATATAAATTCAATGTTAAATTGATAATAAATAAATAATGAAATAAATAAAAGAGATAAGGTAGAATAAAATTTTTAATTTTACAAAAAGAAACTGTTTGATCAACCAAACATTTTTGTTGACCTAACAAAAAAAATTTGGTTGGGCTAACCAAACCAAATTTTGGTTGCTCCCCTATTGAAAATCCCCACATGGGAAACCACATGGGAAACCACATGGGATCCTATGTCAAAAACTATGTAAAACCCCATTCCCCACATGGGAAACCACATGGGATCCCATATAAAAACTCATGGGAAATTGGGACAGGAATTGGCATAGGAAAATATCAAAACGAGGTTCCTCCATGTCATTTCCTATGTCAAATCCCATGTCAAATATCATGTTAAATACCATGTTAAATACTAATTGAGATCCTTTATCACTTTTTTGAAAAATTTTCCCATGTCAAACCCCATGTCATTTCCCAAGTAAAAACCTTTATCATTTTTTTGAAAAATTTTCCCATGTCATTTCCCATGTTAAATATTTATCATTTTTTTGAAAAATTTTCCCATGTCAAATCCTCTTTCGCCTTATCGAAAATACCCACATAGGAAAGCATATGGGAATCCACATGGGAAATGGAATACGATTTCATGTGCATTCTTCCAAATGATAAAACAAATAGATTTAAGCATAGGAAATCATATAAGATTTCATATAGATTCTGAAATTTCAACCTAAGATTTCACATGGATTTACATATAGGAAACGATATAGGATTTTATTCGGGAATTTTTTAGTTGGCTGCTTTATGCAGGCGGCAGTTTACAAAAAAAAATTAATTATTTGATTAAATATCAAATAATAATACTTCAACTCATCTGAAAATAAAAAAAAGTTTACTTTACTTCTGCCTTAGACTCTCAGCTTTTATAGTATTCCAGACTGATCTCAACTGTGAGAGAAAATATTTTCACCATCTGGTGGTGAAACAATGAAACTATAATGACGATCAACATCTATATTGAAATTTCCTATGTCATTTCCCATGTGAAATCCTCTTTCATTTATTCGAAAAATTTTCCCATGTCATTTCCCATGTGAAATCTTATCATTTTTTGGAAAAATTTTCCCATGTCATTTCCCATGTGAAATCCTTCATCATTTTTTTGACAAATCCTCTTTCGCCCTATCGAAAATACCCACATGGGAAAGCATATGGGAATCCACAGAGGAAATGGAATACGATAAAGGATTTCACATGGCAAATGACATGAGCTTTGACGTGGGAATTGATATGGGAAAATTTTTCCAAAAAATAATAAAAGATTTCACATGGGAAATGACATGGGAAAATTTTTTGAAAAAAATGATAAAGGAATTCACATAGGAAATGACATGGGAAAATTTTTCGAAAAAATGATAAGATTTCACATGGGAAATGACATGGGAAATGACATAGGAAATTTCAATATAGATGTTGATCGTCATTATAGTTTCATTGTTTCACCACCAGATGGTGAAAATATTTTCTCTCACAATTGAGATCAGTCTGGAATACTATAAAAGCTGAGAGTCTAAGGCAGAAGTAAAGTAAACTTTTTTTTATTTTCAGATGAGTTGAAGTATTATTATTTGATATTTAATCAAATAATTAATTTTTTTTGTAAACTGCCGCCTGCATAAAGCAGCCAACTAAAAAATTTCCGAATAAAATCCTATATCGTTTCCTATATGTAAATCCATGTGAAATCTTAGGTTGAAATTTCAGAATCTATATGAAATCTTATATGATTTCCTATGCTTAAATCTATTTGTTTTATCATTTGGAAGAATGCACATGAAATCGTATTCCATTTCCCATGTGGATTCCCATATGGTGTCCCATGTGGATTCCCATATGCTTTCCTATGTGGGTATTTTCGATAAGGCGAAAGAGGATTTGACATGGGAAAATTTTTCAAAAAAATGATAAAAGATTTCACATGGGAAATGACATGGGAAAATTTTTCAAAAAAATGATAAAGGTTTTTACTTGGGAAATGACATGGGGTTTGACATGGGAAAATTTTTCAAAAAAGTGATAAAGGATCTCAATTAGTATTTAACATGGTATTTAACATGATATTTGACATAAGATTTGACATAGGAAATGACATGGAGGAACCTCGTTTTGATATTTTCCTATGCCAATTCCTGTCCCAATTTCCCATGAGTTTTTGTATGGGATCCCATGTGGTTTCCCATGTGGGGAATGGGGTTTTACATAGTTTTTGACATAGGATCCCATGTGGTTTCCCATGTGGTTTCCCATGTGGGGATTTTCAATAGGGTCTGACTAAACATTTTTCTCAGTGTACCACAAATGAAAACAAATGCTAGTGACTCCATTATTTTTTACGCCATTTATACTACATTTCAGGAAACAGAAAGAACTATCACGCCAATTGTTAAACTATGTAAATCATATTGTAAAAATCCCTGTAAAAATATCAAATGGTATGATCGAATTTATCATCATAAATCTCATTTTGGTTTAATTATAAAAAAGGATACGGAATTCGAACTAACAATAACGAATTCAATAAATGTTAGAGATTTAATGTTTTTTTGTCTTTCCCAAACATCAGAAGAATCCAATTACAAGATTAATCTTAAAAATCAAACAACACACAGAGTAAAAGCCATATCCGATTGTGTCCCAATGATTTCTGACTTATACCACACTGAAGAAGTCGAAGTAAATGTAAAAATTACAACAAAATTTTGGCTACCTTTGCCGACTTTTGATACAAGTTCTGATACAACACGAAAAAAAGAGTCTCAATTCTTCGATAATTTAAAAATATATGGATTTGTAGAAAACAAATACACTCAAATGTTATTATCAGCTAAAGCAATTATTGACATCAAAAATGCAAATATCAGTCTATATAAGGGACTACGAAATCAGGCACAAGTACTTCAATATTATGATTCATTATATGGTGTCGGCACTCAAAAATTTTTATGTTATTCAAAGGAGGGAAGTTCAAATGAACATATAATTTTATTTTTAATGTACTCACCATGTGATATATCATGCAATAATGAAATACGTTTTAATAATGAATTCATAAAAATTGAAAACAAGATTATAGAGTGGCTACAACCCACAGGCAATTCAAGTTTCGAGTTATTAACTTTCTTCGGAAGTTTTTATAACATTGAGACATATTTGTTCGGTTTAAAAGACACATTCTTCTTGTGGAGGAAGATATTTGCACTTTTTTACGAACAAAAATACAACGAAACAATGAATTCCAGGCTATCTTTAAATAGATCAGAACAAGAATCTTTTATACACAAATATAAAAATAATTTTCCTGTTAGCACATGGAATGAAAAAGAAAAATTACTTTTTTTGATGAGTCTTTTTGATTATAAAGGCTCGGATCAATTATTACGAAAATTCTACATTGGTTATTCTTCAGTAGATAGGTTGAAAAACAATATAAACATATTTCCTACTATTGCGAAAATATTTTATGATCTTTATAACGTAAACATATTACCTTACTTAAAGAAGGTAATTAAATTTGAAGATTTTTGGATGCCCGTAATATATTCAGATTTAGAATTACTATGTGCCAGTGGACGCGCTGTAATGCCGGCAGTGGATTTTAATATAAACTCTACTGCTTTGTATAATATGACTAAGAATCGATTTATAAACACATCTGTCTTAACATTGTTTTACGAACTAGAAGGAAGTTCGGTTGAGGTTAAATTTCATATTGTTCCAATTTCTTTAACAAAAAGTAAAATTTGTTTGTATGTAAATAATCAGTGTCTGAAAATTGATAAAGAATGGATAAAATTAGACCTGAAACCTGGTGTTTATACAGTTTATGTTGCAGGAACAAAAGATGACAAGTCGTATAATAGTAAATTGTCATATCATGTTATCGCAAACAATAATCAGATAATACAAATCAATGTTACAGAAACAAATAAATTATCATATCTGCCTTATTACTATATAAATGTTCGAGACAATAGTTACAATTTGTTTCTACGCATATTTATAGATTACAGAAAAATGACAATTTATTTATTAGAAGTTTCAAAGAATATAAATATATTAACTGACTTTTTTTTTAAAGTAAAGAGAAAAAATAATTTTATACATCAATATATTATTAACAAAGGGAAGAAAGTTGCAGAATTTAAAAATAATAAAATTTCATTCCAAGAAAATGACGAATTATTTATCTACCATAATATACCAAACAATGTAATTATCAATAACAGACATTTAAATAAAAAAATAATTATGTGGAGCACTTTTATATTTAAAGACGATGGATTTCGCTACATTGCTGACCCTATTAATATCTTTAAAGGAAATTTCATTATACATGCTCTCGACAATACCAGTAATTTATTTTTAAAAATTGATATAAATTACGAAAGGAAAACGCTTTCTATTCAACAGGAGATGACAAGCCCCTATTCATCTATAGGTAATGAACTTTATTTTGCAGTAAAATTATTCAGAAATAATATTACTAAGTTTGAACACAAAATTAATGGTAACAATATTAACGATCGTATAAATAAAACGTATCAATTCGAAACCAATGATAAATTACAACTTTATCATAAATACTCACATATATTAATAAATGAAAAAAATATAAAAGATATTGAAAATGATCAACCACCAGATCAGCACATATTTGTAATAACAAAAATCGGTTTAGAAAATATCGAAGATGCAGACCTTTTATATATAAAAGATGACATTGTTCGAATTAACAACTTTACAACAACTAACAAGAATAATAATTTAAAATACAATTTTCTTTACAGTTTACACATAAACAAATATTTAGATTTATTAAAACATGAAAACTTAAATAAACTGATTCCAAACGAATTAATAAATAAGGAAACTGTAACTGCAATTACAATCTTACCAAAATCAACAGCAATCGAACCAACATTAATAGAACCAACAAAAAAATCAACGTCAACAACAATGGAACCAACATCAACAGCAATCGAACCAACAGTAATGGAACCAACAGGAATAGAACCAACAAACAAATCAACGTCAACAACAATGGAACCAACATCAACAGCAATCGAACCAACAGTAGTGGAACCAACAAACGAATCAACGTCAACAACAATGGAACTAACATCAACAGCAATGGAATCAACAGTAATGAAACCAACAAACGAATCATCGTCATCAACAATAGAAACAAGATCAACAGCAATCGAACCAACAGTAATGGAACCAACAAACGAATCAATTTCAACAATAATGGAACCAACATCAACAGCAAACGAACCAACAGTAATGGAACCAACAGGAATAGAACCAACAAACAAATCAACGTCAACAACAATGGAACCAACATCAACAGCAATCGAACCAACAGTAGTGGAACCAACAAACGAATCATCGTCAACGACAATGGAACCAACATCAACAGCAATCGATCCAACAGTAACAGAACTAACAAACGAATCAAAGTCAACAACAATGAAACCAACATCAACAGCAAACGAACCAACAGGAACAGAACCTGCAAACGAATCAACGTCAACAACAATGGAACCAACATCAACAGCAATCGAACTAACAGTAATGGAGCCAACAAACGAATCAACGTCAACAACAATGGAAGCAACATCAACAGCAAATGAACCAACAGTAATGGAATCAACAGGAATAGAACCAACAAACAAATCACCGTCAACAACAATGGAACCAACAGCAACAGCAATCAAACCAACAGTAATGGAACCAACAAACGAATCATCGTCAACAACAAAGGAACCAACATCAACAGGAAACGAACCAACAGGAATAGAACCAACAAACGAATCAACGTCAACAACAATGGAACCAACATCAACAGCAATCGAATCAACAGTAATGAAACTAACAAACGAATCATCGTCAACAACAATGGAACCAACATCAACAGCAATCGAACCAACAGTAACAGAACTAACAAACGAATCAAAGTCAACAACAATGGAACCAACATCAACAGCAAACGAACCAACAGGAATAGAACCAACAAACGAATCAACGTCAACAACAATGGAACCAACATCAACAGCAATCGAACCAACAGTAATGGAACCAACAGGAATAGAACCAACAAACAAATCAACGTCAACAACAATGGAACCAACATCAACAGCAATCGAAGCAACAGTAATGGAACCAACAATCGAATCAGCGTCAACAACAATGGAAGCAACATCAACAGCAATCGAACCGACATCATCAACAATCGGACTAACGTCAACAACAATTGAACCAACATCAACAACTATTAATCCAACATTAACTACAATCGAATCAAAAACAATGGAACCAACATCAACAGCAATGGAATCAACAGTAATGAAACCATCAAACGAATCCTCGTCAACAACAATGGAACCAAGATCAACAGCAATCGAACCAACAGTAACAGAACCAACAAACGAATCAAAGTCAACAACAATGGGACCAACATCAACAGCAAACGAACCAACAGTAATGGAATCAACAGGAATAGAACCAACAAACAAATCAACGTCAACAACAATGGAACCAACAGCAACAGCAATCGAACCAACAAATGAATCATCGTCAACAACAAAGGAACCAATATCAACAGGAAACGAACCAACAGGAATAGAACCAACAAACGAATCAACGTCAACAACAATGGAACAATTATCAACAACAATTGAACCAACGACAACAGCAATCGAACCGAAATCATCAACAATCGTTCCAACGTCAACACCAATTGAAAAAACATCTATGGGATTTTTATTCCTATTTGTATTTTCATTAATTTTAAGTCTATGTCCATTCATATTCCTATGTTAATCAATTTACATTTTAAAACTTATATTTATTAACCTTCATGAAGTTCATGAAGTTTAAATAATAATAAAAATAATTTAAATTAATAAAAATTCTGTTCGAAAATAAAGTGTATTCAAAGTTTTTCAATGACGAGAGTGTTTAGGCCATGTAAACATAAATATTTCAGTTAATTTGACATTTTTTTTGTTTCTCTTTGAAAAATTGAAGCACATTATCCTATGGCCAGCAGAATTAACTACACGGAAAAATTTTTTGACTATCTTCTGAACTATGCTTAGTAATTTAAATGCACCTTAACCTATAGATAACAGAAATATCAGTTTTGGGTGTGATGTTTTGTTAAATCTTAGTAATATTGTTCTCTCACGCGTAAGGTACATATGTTGTACCTTAAAGACATTATACACTGAATATACAAATGTCAACTGCAAATGGAAATTGATTAAATAAATTCTATATCTGGTAATTAATTTCTACTTGAAGTTCAGGTTAAAAAAGTTAATCCAATCTTGCAAATTAATAAAAAATAGGATTTTATTAAAGGTTATTAAAAATTTTGTCATTTAAAATTTTATTTTACTTTATGTACAAGGTTATTTTATTATAAATTTTTTGTACCTTATTATTGTTGCTATTTTTATTATTATAAACTAATTTAATGTGTAATTTTAATTCATAACATATCATTTAAAATATATTTTTCTCGAAAAATAATTAATTATGTGCTTAAAATAGTTATCTCTATTAAAGTAATTACATTTATTATTTATATTATATTTATTTATTATAATATTTATATTTATTATTATAATTACATTTATTATTTAATTATTAAATACTGCTTCAATAAAGTTAAGTTTCAAAAAAATAATTTTTTATTAGCTTTTTTAATATTATAAGTATTAAATTAGAAAATTATAATTACCTATAATACTTTAATGGAATGTTGAAAAATTATAAAAATTTTGTAAATCTATACAACTTTTTTTTCGATAGTTTGAACATTCGTGACATTTTGTCATAACATTGTTATTTTAATTTATATATTTTTACTTATTTTGGTATATAATATTTAATATACTTTTAATTAGATTTTATTTACCAAGTAAATAGTCCTTTTATATTTGGAATGTAAATAAAGTTTAACATTTAGAATGTTTTAAAAGATTTATTTATAATTAAATAATTCTTAAATTTAATAATAACAATAATAACTAATAACAATAATCCAATTTTTGTTATACCACAATTAGTAAACATTTAATTACAAACCGTTACGAGGAACAATGCAATGTAGTGGGTTTTATTTTTGACAACAAATAGTAGTGGAGCTATCGCAGGTAAATCAGAATATTTAACAGAATACTTGAACATCAAAATAAATATCATTTTGCAAATAAATTATCTTATTAATTTTGCAAAATTTAATTTCGCTATTTTCCATGTTTAGGACTAAAAAGGTTCCGATGTGATATAAGGAGTTTTGAATCTCTACCTGTTCATAAATCTCACTGTTTTCATTTTTTTCCTTCAGAGAGCGAAATTTAATTGTTTTATCAAATGCCGGAAAAAGAACCATGTGACCCAATCTTAATGCTTGCTTAGTGGCAATGGTTTTCAATAAGTTTTTTGTGCAAGAAGTTGATTCTGTGGTAGATTTCAGTGAGCGATGATATGACTCGAAACGCATACCCCAAAATTTGACTACGGGACCATGAGTTAGCAAAATTTCCGGATAATGTGTTAAATTGTGAAATTTCGCTTTCAAATTACCATAAAATTTTGCATAATCATCATTTAAATTTTTTATAAGGCGTTTTAAAACTTCCACATCTGTACGAATCACTCTTGGTGACATTAAAATATCTAAAATTCGACGTTAATTTTTAAATAAGTTCCAGTGTTCACAGATTTCTTAATTAGATCGCCTATAGTTAAACCCAAGTAACGAATTAGGCAAAGAATTTCGGACGCGGAGAATTTCATATTAAGTTTCTTCTTGCCTTGTTTGACTTTAATTAATGGGGGTTTGTTGGAGTTTTCCGATCCAAAATCAAAATTTCTGATTCTATTATTTAGATCCTCCAAAGTGAAGTATATTTTTCTTTTTCAAAAATAAATGTATATAATATAGCGCTTAATACATATACACATACACCTTCTAGAAAATCGTGCATTAGGTCAACTGAAATATTTTCGGTAACATGAAATCCTCTGATTTTATTGAAAACGCAAGATTCTTTAATACCAGTTTCTCCTTCGTCATTAAGTGCAGTGTCTCTTTCGTAATTACTTTTATTTCGAAGTTTAGACTTGTCTTCAGTTGTAAATTTAGAATAATCATCAGCAGAAATTGTACAAATTCTGCAGCAAAATTTGTCATTAAATGATTCAACGAAACCCAGTATTCCATTCAAGCCCAAGTTATCACCCACAATAAAAAGTTTAGTTCATCAATGAGAGTTTTGAAAACGTTTTCATTGTTACTTTCTTTTTTTTCTGAAGAATGAAAAATGGTTGAAAAAATAATGCTACTTAAGCGACTAGCTATATGAGGTGGTAAACAAGCGATTGTTACATAAACAGCACCGAATTTGTTGACCCCGCGGTGACTTCCTAATGGATTACCTAATTCTAGGTCATCAAAGAAGACATAGAGAGGCAGAACTGTATCAACAATAAAATTTAACGCATATTTTGTTCTCCACAATTCACCCTGAATTATATTTGTAATAATTTTAGTTTCTTTCGATAGTATTTCAACATATTCTGTTATACTATTAAATATACCGGGTATTTCAAGAAAAAGCTTTAAACTACAACGAAGTGGAATATGAATTCCATACATTAAATGCGGAATCAAAATTTCTTCATTTCCGACAATCGTGTTTTCAAATGTTTTTCCGATTGAAAATTCTTGAAAATCGGGAAAAAGACCTCGTATTTTTAAAATCGAAAAACGTTTGACCTCAGTGTCAACAGCGTCAAAAACATAAGTGTACCTTTCAAAACAATTATTTATCTCATTAAAAGAGTAAGGTGAAATATTTTCGTTCTGAAGAATGTCTAATAGGTCCTTTTTTAAAGATGGTAGGTAAACATTTTTAAGGAAAGTTTTCAGATAATTAATAACATCTTGCACAATTTTTCTAGGAAATCCTGGATCACCATAAAGCGACAAAATAAACCCCAAAATGTGATTCAATATCAAAATATAATCCATTTTGTTTCAAGTTAGAATTGAAATTAAGTTATTAAAACTTAATCAACACGACAGTTGCAAATGTTATTTAAGTTTTTTGAGTTCGGAAATAAATTTGATCACAAAAGAATTAGCTCTTTTGAAAGTTAAATTATAAATCGTCTGATCAAAGAATGTCCACACAGAATCACAGAAATTTGACCGCCTGTGTAAGGCCGTAAGGCATTTATAACAGTCTGCAACTGCTTGGATGCAATTTAAATAAACATATTTTTCGTTATTTAACGAAATATAAAATTGAGCATTTTCAAATTTGCCAGTACAGATTAGATACGGAAGAACTTCGACATCACGCTTCTTCAGCCATTCTTCAAACTCTTCTTGTGCTTTTTCTAAATCATCTGCTTCCTTTACATGTAAAATGAAATTATTCGAGATCTCTTCTTTTGTTACTTTTTCTTCTTTATATATAAATTTAAATTTATGACTGATAAACTAAGTCATACCAGCATCGATTAAATCTTTGTTTGTGGCAACAAATACTTTAAATTCCAAATTTCTTGAGCGTTTGCAATAAAGAAGAATTTTTTTTGCTAAGTCAGGCCACTTAGTGGAAAACAATGTTGATAATTCCGGAATTTAAATTTTCAAATTACATTCTGTTAAAAATTTTACAATATGATTACACACCACAATATTAGGCTTGATTAAAAACATTTCCACACACAAGGGCAGATATATTTTCATTTTAAAAAGTTTTTTGAGTAATTTCGATCTTTGCGATATATAGAGAGGACATTGCCATAGAACGTGATTAAGACTTTCACTAAGACAATTACAATTAAACCAAGTCTTTTTTTTATTAGAGTAATAATTTTGAAAGTAGATTTTACCCTTTGTAAGGCCTTGTTCAACAATAAAATCTTTAGTGTTTGAACACATTCTTTTTTTTAAAGATTCAAATAAATCCGTATAAGGAACAGTTAAAACATCCAAGCTCTCTAATTCAGTTGCAGACTTCGCAAGCAAATCCGTCTCCTCATTTCCTCGGACTCCGATATGTGAAGGAACCCAATAAAATTCAATAGAACTATTGGTAGGATTTTCGGTATGGAACTCAATAAATTTTCTTTTTATTTCAAAAATGTAAAAATTAGTTTTAATATTAATAGCAGTAGATTTTAAACTTTGTAGAGCACTTAGGGAGTCCGAGAAAATATGGAAGTTACAATATCGGTGCTTCAAGGCCACATCGAAAGCATCACTCAAAGCAATGCACTCAGCCGTATACACAGAAGGCTCAAGAGGGATACTTCTTTTAATCTCAATTCCCAAATCCCGGCAAATACACGCAGAACCCGCACATGCATTTGAAGAGACCTTACTTCCGTCCGTATAAATAGAGAGCGCATTATTTTTATTTACAAAATCATTGAGCCTATTGTTAGGATCTAAAATTCAATTAAGTTCATTACCAAGACTAGTATTTATCGGTATCAAAGTTGTCAATACTTTATAATCAAAACAATAAATATTATAATTGCAGCGAGAATCAATTAACTTTAATGAATTAAATTTACGTATAATGTTTTGGCATAATAAAATCTTTCGATTACGTACTTTTCATTTACTTAAGTTAAAATAACCTTTAAAGGAAGAAAACAAATTAGAATTATTATTTGACATGATTTTAGCTATATAACATTCACACAAATACTCAGAACGTTCTTTCAACAGAGGAAGTTTAGACTCAGCCAAAAGAATATTTATCGGTGTACTCCGACGATATCCTAAAGCTATCCTTATAGCAGTATTTTGAATACTCTCAATTTTTTTTCGAACCTTTTTAGCCTTAGAGAAATACAAAAAGGTACCGAAATCAATAATCGAGCGTACATAACTTTTAAACAGAATTAAAAGAGTTTCTGGACTTGAACCCCACCAAGTACCACACAAAAATTTTAGGATATTGAGAGCTCTAGAACATTTTTTTACAACTTCATCAATATGAGGTATAAAAGTCATTTTATAATCCAATTTTATTCCCAAAAAACGGACTGTATCGATAGATTTAATAACATGATCTTTGATTTGAATTTCCAAATTTCCAGGAGAAATTTTCATATTATTAAAATGTAATAACTGGGTTTTTTCTGGGGAAAGTTCAAGTCCAAGAGTAATTAAAATTTTATTTATATTTTCAATTGCTTTGGTCAGTAAGCTTTTTCCTCTCTTTACAGTTTTAGACTTTACATATATCGCTATATCATCTGCAAACTGAGAAACAATAACATTTTTATTCAAATCATTGGCAATATTTGATACATAAAGCAAGTACAATAACGGACTAAGCACACCCCCCTGAGGCAACCCCCTATAGACCATTCTAAATTTACCGCTAGTATAAGCAGTATATATAGACCTTTCATGAGACACAAACTTAACAAAAGAAACAATTTTAAAGAACAACCAACTGAGCCAAGCTTTGACAATAACATATCGATATTCACATTATCAAAGGTGGAATAATTAAAAACAAAAATTAAAAAAATTCAGTATATTATATAAATATTGTAAAAACGATAAATATTGGTAAATATTATTCACTTAAATATTAAACCATACATTAAACTACAGATTATTAAACAGTTTAATATTTTTACCAATAAAATCCCATGAGGTGAACAGAAATACGAGAAACTTCTAAAATATTTTTCAAGCCTCAAAGTTATCTTTTTGTTGACTTTTTCTTGACGGGATAGTAAAATAACGCGAGTTTCATATGTCTCCTCTCCCATAATTTTAAGTTCGTTGCCAAGGTATAATTTGTTACATTCACATCAGTTGTGCAATTCATAAAATCTTCATCATAAGTCTGTTACATCCCGGTACCAAAAAATTCTTAAAAGATGGATCATGAACAAATTAAATTATATTTTTTAAATAAAGGTCATTGCATACATATGAGTCATTCACGATGTTAATAGTGAAAGATAGATGTAATATAACACCTCTGAATGCGAAAGACTCGCATAAAGCAGACGTGTTATATCTATATATATATAGATTCCAATGTAAAAAGGTAATTTCTGTGACTCTAACAAAAACCAATAGTTATTTTTGTATTTAACATTATAATTTTTCGTGAAAAATGGTTTTTAAGGCTGAAAACGTCAAAATTTCACCTGTCCCCACAGGATGTTTAAACAAAAAAGTTAATATTTTTAGCAATGTGTACTAATAAATACAATTTCTATTGCTATTTTAGTATTGTATATTGTAGTGGAATTGAATAAAAAAAACGTTTGATCAAAAAAATAATTATTTTCTTTTTTTTTTTTGCTATTTATACTTGACTGCACTTTTGTGTGTTATTCTGCGTTTTATTTTTAACATTGAATTATTTAAATAAAAGTCAAATATTAATATAGTTCTACTACAGTAAAAGCAAAAGTTATATTCCTTAAGTTGATCTATGAAGAAAATAATCAATTTTCTAATTGATTTATCCTTTTTTTACACATTTCAAGATTCAAATTTGTACAGGGCATCACAAAATCGTCTCCACCGGCATCCACCGACCCTTCAATATTATTTAAAAAAATAGAATATAATTAAATTATAAAGGTTAAATAAAGTGTAGTTATATTATTTTAGTCTATATATATATATATATATATATATATATATGTGAAACATATGAAATCGAATAAAAATAAATGATAATTTTCTCAAAAAAAAAGAAATTATTAACATCAGTTCCACCGGTTCGACCGACCCCAGCATCTCCACCCGCCACAAAATTTCGCCCGTCACTACTCCAAGTTTAATACACAATGAAACAAACGAAATTAAAAATATTTATTATAAACTATCATAGCTCCGGTAAGTTTACTATAACTTACCAAATAAATTTCTATAAATTACCGTATAAATTTCCATAAATTACCGCATAAATTACCAAAATAAAATTTTTAATTGTCGTTCGTGCTTGGTATATCGATGAAAACGCGGACTTGCAACGCGCTCAACGTCAATTGCCTATCAAGAAACGATCGATGGTTCATTAAATATTTTTGTAAATTACCACGAAATTTTTCATAAATTACCGAAATTAAAATCTTTAATTGCGATTTATGCTTTACATATTTTTATGAATTATAGTCAAAATTTCTATAAATTTCCATAAATTACCGCATAAATTTCCATAAATTACTGAAATAATATTTTTAATTGTCGTTCGCGCTATATATGTTTTTGTAAATTACCGCGGAAATTTCCGTAAATTACCAAAATAATAATTTTTAATTGTGATTTATGCTTTACATATTTTTATGAATTATAGTCAAAATTTCTATAAATTACCATATAAATTTCCATAAATTACCGCATAAATTTCCATAAATTACTGAAATAAAATTTTTAATTGTCGTTCGCGCTATATATGTTCTTGTAAATTACCAAAATAATAATTTTTAATTGTGATTTATGCTTTACATATTTTTATGAATTATAGTCAAAATTTCTATAAATTACCATATAAATTTCCATAAATTACCGCATAAATTTCCATAAATTACTGAAATAATATTTTTAATTGTCGTTCGCGCTATATATGTTTTTGTAAATTACCAAAATAATAATTTTTAATTGTGATTTATGCTTTACATATTTTTATGAATTTTAGACAAAATTTCTATAAATTACCGCATAAATTTCCGAAAATTTCCGAAATAAAAATTTTTAATTGTCGTTCGCGCTATATATATTTTTGTGAATTACCCCAAAAATTCCCATAAACATTTTAAATCAAATTTCTACTATTTTATAGAATTCAACAAGCAAAGAATTTTTTTTTAATTTGTTTAAAAAAATTTTTCCGGCCCACCATGGATATTTATTTCTTGACACTTTATCTTCAAAAATATGCATTGGAGGCATTCTTTGTCAACGCGGACACCCCTCTCGCCCAAATTCTTTTCATTTTAAATTCATGTTTAATGGCTTAAATTTTAGTTAAAGGAATATACTTTTGAAATCTGAGTGGCATATATCCAAAAACAAAATATAGGATCCAATATAAAGGTTATTCTTTAAAACCAATAAAAAGTTACTCTAATTCATTTTGAACAATCCAAAAAGTAATGTTTGAGGCCTTTTTAGCCCTTTGTATTTGGAAATATGCCACTCAGATTTCAAAAGTATATTCCTTTAACTAAACTTTAAGCCATTAAACATGAATTTAAAATGAAAAGAATTTGGGCGAGAGGGGGGTGTCCGCGTTGACAAAGAATGCCTCATTGATATTTATCATATAGATAAAAAAAATATTTTTAAAGTTTCAAACACCAAATCGTGCGCCACGCGGAGAATCACCCATATATATAGAAATGACATATTACCTGATACATGTAAAATATTTTTATTGGTTAAATGGTTAAACACTCGCGCTATCGTTCTCTTTAAATTAATGGGATAGTATTTATGAACATTAGTGTACTTTTTGAAATTATTAAAAATTTTCGAGTATGTTCATGTTTATTTTAAAATCATTGTTATAATATTTATTTTTTTCTACATTTTTATATTTAAATTACTTCTGAGTAATTCCTGAGTTAGTTAGGTACATATGTACTTAGTTTTCCATTGTTTCCTTATATATTCATTATCAGAACATATTTTTAAAGATATGATTGAACAATTAGTAACAAGTACATATTGTGTGTATCTTGTTATAAATTAATTTTCTAAGATTTATCTTGATTCTACAAATTGACTATATTGTAATGTGTAAAATATTTACTATCACTTAGAAAATTTACAAAATATCTTTCATATTTAAAATAATTTTTATATATTCATAACTTCCAATCCCATGGCACACAAAAAACACCGTCGCTCATTACTGAATAATAATGCGTTACCCAAAGCATTACACCTTGTAGACTTGGTGCTAAAATTTCTTTGTGCATTAATAATCGTTCACAGCATTTGATCATTAGATCTGGAGTTATACTATCGTCTTTATTCAAAGCAGCTAAACCTAAATCTTCAATCGCTTTTTTATGCAGTTCTCGTTCAACATGTTTTATACTATAATGAAAATATATTAAATTCATTAATAATACGAAGTACTATTTTAAAGATTACATGCGCATGATAATTTAACGTATATAAAGTAAAAATAAACTTTTGAATTTTTTTTTTTTTGAAAATTTACTAAATTATAAATATAAATGAGATTTATACATATATACACGCTCATTAATTATTATTTATGGAGAAAATTTGAAAGAAATTTTTTTGAAAAAAAATATGCTGATTTTCGATACTTTTAATAACAAATGTTATTTTGTCCATTTATTAGTATTTAATATTAGCATTATATATATTTAACTTTGTTTGCAAAGTGAATAAATAAATTCAATATTGAAACTTACTTATTATAATGATGCAGTCGTTTTGTAGCTTCATCTAAATTTTCAGTAATAAAGCTCACTAGCAAAAAACTAGGACAAGACGAGGGAACAATAAATTGACCCGTTGGAGAAAGCATTAGAGGTCCTGCTTCACTAAAAATAATATGGAAAATCATTCTTTAATTTTTCATAATTTTTTTACCTCCAATATAAATGGTGCTCACTGTATTTTTAGAAATCTTTTTTTTTTTTTTTTTTTTAATAATAATTACGCATATAAGAACTTTAATAATTCATTAAGAGATTCTTAATTACATATTTCACATATCAAATCTTCCACCAAATTTCATATGAAACTTTATTTAGATTTATCACATAAAAATTCCTATATGTAAAGTCTCATGTGAAATTCTTCTTGTTCTTCTCTTTACGGATTACTTACTTGAAAGGAAATCTTTTTTAATTTTTTGGGTATAAATTTCCTATGTAAAATTTCATATATAAAATATTCTTTAGGTTCTTGCAAAAAAATTTTCTATATGAAATCTTCAATACGAAATTTTTTTTGTATTCCCAAATTAAAGTTTTCTGTACAAAATCCTAATTAAATCCCCATATGTGAAATCTTAATATTATATTCTTCACGAAAATTCTCCTTTATGAAATGACTTGTCAAATACTATTTAAATTTTTTTATTTGTTTATAATTTCATCCATATAATCAGTTACCGAATTCCATATTGAACTATCCATCTATTTTAGATATAAGATTTTTTGTAGAATAGAATATAAGTAGCTAGTTTAATGTGAAATTTGGTAAAATGAATAGAAACCTTATTTTGTTGTGAAATAATATAAAATTTCATTCTAGAACTTTGTTTATAGATTTGTCTTTTTCGATTTTATTAGTAAATCTATTAAAAAATGTAACAATTATTTCATAGTTTATTTTTGTCATTTAATGCAAGTAATAATGAGTCGTTTGTGAACTTTGTCAATATTTTTTGAAAAGTCGAAATTTTTTAAATAACATTTACGTTTTTTCTATTCAAAACAGTAAGAAAAAAAATACAAGTTGCACAATTTCGCCTAAATTTTGAAGATTTAAACAAGTTATTGTTATAAACATTTTCATGTGTGATTTTACAAATTTTTTTTTTTTTTTTTATTAATTTACAAAAAAATAAATTTGTCTGGCGCTTGGTATTATTGAATTAACACCGCTTTCAATTAATATATTTATTTTTTAAAATTATGTAATTTGTTAAAAATACATAAACAATTAATTTAAACAAATAAAAATTAATCTAACTTCTCATTCGATTTTTCAAAACTTTTTTTTTGCATATTACTCTAAACTATCTAAAATCATTCTCAAAGAGAAAAATTTGGTAACTTACTTAACAAAAGCAGTTTCAATTTAAAATAATAATACATTAAAAAATTTGTAAAATGGCACAGAAAATTTTTTTATAACAATAACTTGTATTATAGATATTAGAGTGTAAATCGTTAGATTATAGAAAATAAGATGCCGATATCCAAAAATGAATTTGTGAATAACGTGACCAACATTATTGAAGACTGTCAAATTGGCACGTTTCACAAATCTTTAACAAATTGTACATAATTCTTAAAATTTTTAAAAACTGTTAAAATTAAATTTTTTTATTTACTTTTTTTGAATAGAAAACCGTGAATTTCATGACAAAAATTTGACTACTCAAATAATATTGGCACACTTTACAAATTTTGAATCTAATTTGTTTTTTAAAAAAATTGATAAAAGGGTCAATCTATTATATTTCGATGGCGGCCTATTATTGAAAAATTCTAATATTTTTATTATTTTTGTAGAAATAATCTTGAACGTTCAAATAGTATATATTTGACAATGATTTTTTATAATTTCATGAGTTTACTTCATAAATTTAATTTTCATGTCGAGACGATGCACCATAAAAATGTCATTTTGATAAATGGAAAAAATTTAACAAAAAATTTTGTTTAAAATTAAGTATTAATTCATTTTCTAGAAAAAAAGGAGTGCAAATTTGACACAACAACTTTAAAATTAACTTATATAATTATAATAAAATAATTACAACTTGTGAAAATAAATTTGAACTTTAAATATAGTGATGAACAATTATCAGAAAAGAATTAATTTATTTTTTAAAAATATTTATGTGTTTTTTTTATTAAATTTTTTCCATTTGTCAAAATGAAATTTTTATGGTGCATCTCGACTTGAAAATTAAATTTACCAAGTAAACTCGTAAAATTATAGAAAATTGCAAATATATATTATAGAAATATTTAAAATTATTTTTAGTGCTACAAAAATATTATAATTTTTTAAAAAATAGTCCGCAACGGCTTTAATCGAAATCTAATAGATTGAGCCATATAAAGAAATAAAAATTTGTAGAATTGATAGTTGCTATTATTATTATTATTAACTTACGTCTCAACAACGATTTCGTAGGCTGATAAATTTGAAGGCCATGCACTCGGGTAGCTTCTTCTCCCTCTATAATCCGAGAGCGTTGTTGTCAGTTGTCGCAACTGCTGTTCATACTGGCCGACCATTACTTTCGGCATGAACTTCCTGCACATATAGAGTATCCTGAACCTCACGGTCAGTCTAAAAAATTATTTATCTTACGCACCGTCGACCAACTTTTATGTCCAGTAACACCCTCGAAACTGCTTTCTCAAAGGCCGGCAATCGCAAAAGGACAGCGTCATGTTTACGAACATTTTTAATAAGCTGAAAAGAAAAAAAATCTAATTAATATACATATTTCGTTATATATATTAATATAGTAATTATTTTTTGAAAGAGAAAATTTTTTAAATTGTCTATTGTCTTACATCCAACCAATTGTGACGAACTTCCCCTGAATTGAGCATAACATTTCCTTCAACACTAATTCCAGTATCATTAGCAAAAACAATTTTACGATCTTTGAGAATTTTCATTGATTCTGGATGATGTTTTGCAAGCGCTTGAAATGCCAAAAGACATCCACGATAATGAGTTATATTCCATCCACAATCCCACGTAATACTTTCAAGTTCAAGATCCTCACATAATTTAGATTCTAATTTTTTCACTTCTTCACGAATTGGTCTACATGCTTCAAATTTCACATGAGCAATATTCACGTGTTTATCTAAATACGCTCTGTCAAAAGGAAAATAAAAATAATAATTAATAAATTAACATTCTATAACGCATTCTTGACTTTGACAATTTTAATGTGGCTAAAATTTTATTATCTTTTTGGTACTCTATACGAAAAAAGTTAGTTAAAAAGGAAATAATTTTTTTTTTTTTAATTAATCTAATTTCTCAGGATTATAAAGTTCTAAATAAAATTATTAGTTGAAAATTTTTTTTTTTTATTAATTTTTCTTTTTTCAAACTGTTTTTACGAGATATGAATTTTTCAAAATTTTAGAGTTTTTATAAAAATTGTTGTTTAATTTTTATTTTATTTGTTTGTATTCTTCTTTTTCATTTTTAAATTTTACAAAAACAATACATCTTTTTACACAAAATTTTAAGTCTGATCTCGACGTGGGGAAAGAATTTTTTTAATTTTTTAGAAATTTTTGAAAATTACAATTTTTTTTTTATAAATACCTCTAATTTTTTTGATACTACGTATATTTGTTTATTTTAATGTGCTTACCACAAAAATCATAATGAAAATATCTGCAAATCTCATTTTTATTATAAAATCCTTAAAAAACATCCAATACAGTGGAACCTCGATTATCCGAACTAATCTAGGCAAGGCCGGGTTCGGATAATCGAAAATTCGGATAATAGAGATTTTAATTTTTTTTAATAATTAAAGTAAAAAAATGTACAGTTGAACTATATATTTAACTTAATACATATGTTTTTAAATATACATAAGTATATACATATATGTAAATATATATATTAATTAATAATATATTAAAAACTCAGAAAATTCGGAAATTTTTAAGATTTTTTTTGGCATAAATTTAGTTATTTTGCTTTGAATGATAAAATAAATAGAGAAAATAAAATTTAAAATTCGGGAGGCCAAAAAATAGTTCGGATAATAGAAGTTCGGATAAAATGTTTTTCGGTTCGGATAATAGAGGGTTCGGATAATAGAGGTTCGGATAATCGAGGTTCCACTGTATATATATTTTTTTATGGTTTTGTTTGGGTAAAATATGAATTATTTTTTTATAAATATTATAGAATATAAAATATATTTAAATGCGATCTTTCACTTTCTTAATAAATGAAACGTGAAATCATTGGCCCATGAATTAAAAAAAAAAGTTTTTAATTCTATTTTTCTCCAAATATTTATTTTTATGAAAAAATATAAAAATATACTCGCCAGAAAAAATGTGCCTCAAGTTGTGAACGTTAAATTGAACGAAATCATTTTTTTGGGTTTCTTTAAATTTTTTTATAAATTATTACGACAAAATTACATTAAAGATTTAATAAATTTTTAATGTATTTTTTAATATAAAAATGCAATATTTTATAATTAATAATAATTGAAGTTAAAAAAATAGTAAATAAAATTATTGTTCATTTGAACATACAAAATTTCTTACAAAAAATTGAAAAATCGTTTCATCACCATGGGACCAGTCTTAAAATTTTTGTAAAAGAAAACACATAGTTTGTTTTGAAAATTTTTCAAAAATAAATCGAAGGAAACCAAAATTTTAAGAGCAGAAGAAATAATTTTTAAAGAAAAATGATAATTTTAAGGAAAAAATGTATTTTTTTTCGCAAAAAACGAAAAAAGTTTATATCAAGTGATACAAATTTATACATTTTGACGTATTTTTACGTGTATATAACACAAAAAATATAGCGAGTTGAATTTTCAGGTGCTGTCAAGAAAAAATTGATAATTTTAGAAAAAAATCATGAATTTTCTCCCAATAATGAAAAAATTTTTATCTAAAGGGCTTGAAATTTATTATTTTCACGTATTTTTATGTGTAGATTATAGAAATAATTTAATAAACATGATAAGAAGTGGAAAAAGTGGACTTTTTCCTTGAGTTTATTTCTTCAGTCGTTATAACTCTAAAATAAAAAAAATCAGACAATTGCGAGTTAAACTCGCACTAAAATCGAGGGTTCCGTACTCGAAGCAAACTTATTTGGTATAAAAACAAATGTTTAAAAAATATGTGTTGTATGTCAAATAAAATAAGTGATACAAAAAGGAACAATTTTGTAAAATTCAAAGAAAATTTTTCCTATTCGTATCACTTATATTATTTGTCATACAACACATATTTTTTAAACATTTGTTTTTATACCAAATAAGTTTGCTTCGAGTACGGAACCCTCGATTTTTTGTTTTTTTTATTTCAGGTTTTGGAGGGTTGAAAATTATCAAATTTCATTGAAGGGAATTAGAATCCTTAACTTTTATTTTTTTTCGTTGAATCAACGTTGGTAACTTCAGTTTACCAAGTTTCAGTTTTTATATTTGAAAAAAAAAAAATGTTTATCATCCACGTGTATCAAAAAGTCTTACTTGAATGTATCGGGCTCAGCGTTTATTTTTCTCTTCATAATAATTGAAGTGAAAATTGGATCATCTTCTAAATCGGAAAAATTCGTTTCTCCAGCGCGTCCTCGAAATTGCCAGAAACCTGACATTGATGATTTTGAAATTGGTTTTTCCTCCTCTAATTTGTCTACAAATGTTGTTGGTAAATTGCATGTTTTTAAAATAGAAATAATTGTTTTTCTCAAATCTTTCTCATTTAATTTTATATTAACAAGAGTAAAATTTCCCGCTTTTGATTCTTTATCGTCTCTTGAACGAAGATAAAATGGTAAAATTGTTGGCCTTATTGCTTTTTGCTGCTGTAGGGATTCTAAAATTGAACTCAATTGCTTCAATGAGTTTTCATTGACAGTCTGAAATTATTATAAAACTCTTGAATATATAATTTATGATATAATTGCAATGAATTTTTTTTTTTTTTTTCATCTCTATTATAATATTTTTAATCGGTTTTATTGTTTAATATAAAATATTAGTTGAATACATATATTTTTTTATGTATAAGATAATTTTTTTCTTTTAAACTATACATAAAATTAATAATAAAAAAAAGAGTACAAAAATTAATTTTTTTTGACGTTAATAGAATATTTTTAAAATAAAAAAAAATTATCAAAATAACTTACAACCTTGATAAAGTTCAAGTTCAAGAGTCGTGTGAATAAAGCGTATTAATTTCTATAAATAAATCGCAAGTTTTTTTTTTTTTTTTCATAAATGACGTAGATGTAATTCAAATCTGTAAACTTTTAAAAACTACCAAATTTATTTTTATGTAAATGAGAGATGAAGAAAAAAAAAATTTAATAAAGACCTACCCTTTGTGTTGGAAACTGTCCAAAAAGATCTGGATGTACCGTAAAATAAAATGGTCTTAATGCAGTGGAAACTTCACCTGTGCTAAGAGCCCTAACAATTTTATTCCTACACAAGCTGTTTATAAAAAAAAAAGAAGAAGACAAACAATTAAAAACAAATAATTCCTATAAATAGTAACAAAGAAAATTAGAATTTTAAAAATTAATATTGTTATCACAAACTCACCAGGTTTTCAGAGTACAATACATATTTTAATTTTTATATGAAAATTATCACAAAGATTTTATAATTATTACAGTAAACTTTACAACCATCGGCATTTTTTTTTTTTTTTATCAACTGCAACTGACACAGAAGAAATGAAAAATAAGTTTCAAGTATATAGATACTGATATGTCAAACGAATAAACAACATTATGAGCTGAAGGAAAAAAAAGAAAATATAAAAATACTAAATGTCACATTTTCGAATGGTGGGGGAGGGGGGTCGATAAACGGAATCGCTGTATTGACAAAGAAATGTTGGTACTTCCAGGATTGGGAATTAATAATTTTTAACATATTTATAATCTATTGAAAATTTTTTTTGCAATATTCTTCTATGTATTCACTTATATTATTACTTACATTATTTGAAGGTGTATTATATTAATAATAATTAACTAAATATTCAAATTAGTTATTATCGACTGATCCTGGAGTAATGTGCACAGACGATAAAAACAATTTCTGCAATAACATCAGAACATTCTTGAATGGAATGAAATGCACACAGCTGTCTTTGACGTTTAATAATGTAAGGATAACAAGAAAAAGTGGAGGGGAAAAAGAACGCTTGAAATTCACTTGGGATTATTGTTCAGTATTGTTAAAAAGTCTGATTGCTTTCTATATAGCTTTAACTTATTTTATCAGACGTTCATTTTCCATGCATAAGTGCATTGTTCATTTACTGACAATCAATGTCACACGTGCAGTATGTTTGCACTTTGTGTCAGATTTCGACCCTGGATATACAACAACAATCACTAGAACAATTCATTTTTAATAATATTAATAATAATAATAATAATTCTTAATCGTCTTTTATTTAAATGTTTTATTGCACAAAGTGTTCGTCCCTTAGTTATTCAAAAGCCAATAATTTTTTTCATTGTGCTGTGATTTCCGAAAAATTTGGTGAGTATTTTTTTCTCTATTTCTAATTATATATTCATGCAGGTAAAATAATTTTCTTTAAATATTATCTTGTAATTATTTATTTCAATTAGTTATTACATTTTTGAAGTAATATAAAAATACTTGTTTTTTTTATTGTGTCTTAAAAATTATATATTTGTTTAGCAATATTTTTTTAATGTAATAACAGTTAATTTTTATTTTTTGAACTTTGAATCATTAAAAGTTGCATTTGGATAAAAAATTTAAAAAAATATTTACTGTGAAAAACGATAATCAAATTGTAATTTTTATGAAAATACAATTTTTAATGGCTTAAAATGATAAAATGGAGTTGAATTAACTTTTATTTCGATTGTTTATCTGATTCTTCTTTAAATAAAAAATTTAAAGTATATTTAAAATTTTACCATTATTGAATATAAAAATTTGAATTTTTTCGAACTGATACAAGAAATACAATGAAAAAAGAATTTAATTCGTTCAAATACTCGATTAATTGACTATTATCAAATAAATATTTATTTGTATCAAATAATTATTATTTGAGTCAATTAAATTATATTTGTTTCAAATACAGAAATTATTGGTTCAAATACAATTTATTTAATTCAAATAAAAATTATTTGTTTCAAATAAATATTTATTTGATAATACTCAAGTAATCGTGTATTTGAATCAAATAAATTTTTTTTTCAGTGTAGTATACACAATAGATCACTTCTATATTAATTATCAAAAAAATATTTCAATAATAATTTTTTAACTTATAAGTATTTTGTAAAAAACTTATTTTGCAGCAAATAAACTTAAAAAATGTATATCTCTACCAAATTGCAGTTCTCGGATCAGGCACAAAAAAACAAAATTTAATTGATTAATAAATATTTTACTTTAAATAACTAATGTTTATTAGATATTAAATTCATTTTATTAATTCTGTAATGAGAATAATTCTATAATGAATATTATAAAGAAAATTTAATTCAAATATTTCAGGATCGAACTAATTGTAAGACAAATTTTCAAAATTTTTTTTAAGCAGGACAAATTTCTAAAAAAAATTCTTAAAATTCCATTTTTATAATTTTTTTTATATCTGATTTATGCAATTTATTTGAATTAAAAATTTTGTCATAGTTTTTTAGTTTTGATGGTCAAAAAAATTTCAGGCAATATTTAATCAAGTTCTACAGATTTTTAAATAAAAATTTTTTTTAAATAATAATTTTTGAAGAGTTACGAATGAAATTTTTTAGAAATATTCGAATTTCAAAAGATTTTGTTAATTTTCAGACAATAATTAAATTTTACAGAACTAAAAATAATTTATCAAATAATTTTAGATAAAATTTTTTAAAAGTAATTGAATTTTCAAAGATTCATAATTTAAATTTTTGAAATATTAATTAAATTTCAAGTGATTTTTAATTAAATTTTTTTTGATGATTTCATGAAAAAATTTATTAGAAATTGCAGACAAAAATAGAATAATTTGAAAAATTTTTAAGTTAAAAAATGGTTTCAGATAGTTGAATTTTTGAAGAATATTATAAAAATCATTAAAAATAATTGAATTTAAGTTGAGATTATTAAATTTCAAAAATTTTTAGGAATAATTAAATTTTAAGAGCTTTTAAATTGAAATTTTTGAAAATAATTGAATTTCAAAATATTGTGTTAAATTTCAGACAATAATTATAATAAGAGAAATTTTTAGTGATTTCTATTGATGAAGAATTTATTTGAAATGAAATAAAAAATTGAATTCCAAAAGTTTTTAATATTGAAAAAATGATTTCAGATAATTGAATTTTCGAAGAATATTATAAAAATCATTAAAAATAATTGAAATTTTTGCATATAATTAAATTTCAAGTGATTTTTAATTAAAATTTTTTGGTAATTTTATTTGCTTATTTTTTTAAAATTATAAACAACTATAAAAATTTCATAAAAATTTTAATTCAAAAATAGTTTAAAATTATTGAGTTTGTGATGACTTTTATTAAAATTATTAAAAATAATTAATTTAGTGAAGAAGTTAAATTAAAACTTTGTTAAATAATTCAAATAAAGAAGATCGGAAGAAGATCTGCATTGCATACTAAAAAAAACGTATTTTGTTGGAAATTTTTTTTAAAAAATGCAAAAAAGTCGAAAAAGTCGCATTTTATGAAAATAACTCGAAAAAAGTCGTAAAAAGTCGAAAAAATCGTATAATCCGAGGCCTGAAATTGCTACTTTGCTACATCAAAAATAATTTTTTTGACGTAGTAGATATATGTAAATCTTATTTATATTTAAAATTTGGTAGAGTTTTTCAAAGTAATTTTTCAGAAAATTAAAATAATTCATTTTTAGTACACTCTCCTTTATATAAATTATTAGAATATTTATAGAATTAAAAATCTCCTTCATTATAGTTTCACTCAAAATTTCACATATTTTATATATTACAGTGTAAAAATTGCTGAATTATGGCATATTCAATAAATAAACAACCCTTATTAAAAGGAATTAGCGATAGTGAATTTGAAGATGATATAGAGACTGAAATTGAAGATCCAAATATTTCTACACAAGATGAAGAACCATTTATTAAGCCACATGAACCAGCAGATACGTAAGTTCAATTATTATTATTTAACAGAAATAAGAAATAATAAAATTTTTCCTTTTTTATAATAATTTACAAATCTTGTAATAATATAATAATTATAATTAAAATTTATTTCATAATTTAGCGCAATTTTCTCTAATTAATTTTTAAAACTTACACGAATTTTTTTTAATCGAACAGAAAATAGATTTTATATTTTTTTTTTAATAATAAAAAATCATTTTATTTTCAAAAAAAAAATTATTAATAATTTCTTACAATGCTTATGGAAAAATTAATGCTTAAAATAAATAAATCGAATGAAAATAAAACGCTTAAAAAAAAAAAATAAAATGATTTGTCACCCTTTAAAAAAGATACAGGTAAAAACTTACCCTAGATGTAAACGAGCTTTTCTCTCTCGTAATCCGTCAGCGCACGCAGACTTTTGCAACCCCCATTAGACTTTTAGTTCTAGGTTTACTTTCTTGTGATATAAAGGGTTCACTGTGAAAGTTCATTTGAAAAAGAAAATAAATTATCATGGATAAAGCATCAACATTGGCAGAGAAGTACAAAAAAAAAAAAAAAATTACATTTTGCATTCTGAAAAAAAAAACAAAATTCTCACAATTATTTCATTTATTTTAACAGTATAAAAGAACTTTTACTAAATTTGATAAAGAAGTAAAAAAGAAATAGTTTTTTTGGTTAAAATTTTTATTTATATTTTATTAATTATATTATTTATTCTCATTAAAAAAATAAAATACAATAAAAAAATAATAAATGACATAATAATTATTGTTTGATTTTTATTGAATTGTTTCTACCGCTTTTAAGAAGCCTTATAAAAAAAAATATATCGACAAGTTTATGTTTCCGTTATACAAATAAATAAACGTATTTTCTTTATTTTCAAAAATTTTTTATTAAAAAAATAAAAAATCATTCGTAAATTTTTTTTTTAAATAAATATTATAAATGATATATTAAATTAGAATTATTTTTTTCCATTACCTATTTACCGTTGGAATTGTAAAATTATTTATCTGAAATAATTTAATAACTTTAATTTTGGAATTTAATATTTCCAATAAATACCTATATGAATTTATATTCTTTCAAGTCAATTCAATTTACAGACTTAATTCTTAGAAACTATCGGAATGATTTTAAATAATGTTATTTTTTAATTAAAATTAATTCGCTGTTTTTTTTCAGATTTCAATTTACGTACGTAGTATTTTATTTACTCGGAATGACAACTTTAATTCCATGGTGCTTTTTTATGACAGCTGATGAGGTAAAAAGCATGTGAACTAAAATACATTTTGATTAAAATTTTTTTTTTTTTAAATCAACAAGAATTTTTTATTTTTATTTAATAAATTATTTAAACAAAAAGTTTTATTAGATTCACTTTAAAACTTTTTATAAAATTTCCTCAGTGTTTCCAGATATGTATTAAAAAAAATAATATCTTCTCATTACAATGAGAATGTAAAAATAATCCGAAAACAAAAAAATTAATTTGTTTATAAAAAATTGTTATTTTTTTTTTTTTAAATTAAAAATTGACAATTTACTGAATTTAAATTATTTAATTTACCTAGACAATTTTTGGAATCTAAATGAAAATATTTATTTACAGTATTGGATGTATAAATTTAGAGAGATTCGAAATGATAGCCATCATAATTATTCAATCGAGGACCAATTAGAAAAGAAAAGTGAATTACAAGCGAGTTTTATCTCTTATCTTTCTGTAACAAGTTCTATTCCCAATACACTTTTTCTAATAATAAATGCATTCATTAGTAACAAGTAAGTGTATAAAGTTATCAAGAATTTTTTCACATTATTATAATACTAAGAATGGTTTGTTATATTAATTAATTCTTTTCTTTTTTCTAGAATATCCCTAGAGTTACGAATGATAGGTACTCAAGGTCTTGTTTTATTAATTTTTCTTGTCACCACTGGATTCGTTAAAGCAGACACCGATCAATGTATGTTAATCTTTCATCTAATTCTAATTATTAACATTAAATCTAACAAATCCAGGGACACATTTGGTGGAACTTATAAAAATGAAACATAAATTTTAAATTAGATTTAGAAATTTTTATTTTATTAAAAAATTTCTCTTCACAAAAGGAGAGAAAAAAGGCAAATTTGTAAATTAAAAGAAATATTTTTCTTATTTTTAGGGCAAAGTACATTTTTAATTATAACTCTCTCGTCGGTGGCATTAATGAATAGTGAGTAATTAAAAAAAATTTATTTTACGAAAATAAAAAAATATACATAATAAAAAAATAAAATAATTTTCAGTGGCAAGTGCAATATTTGGAGGAAGTCTTTTGGGAATAGTTGGACGATTTCCAGCTAGATATATAACAGCAATGTCTGGTGGTCAAGCTCTAGCTGGAATATTTGCTGCACTTACAGAAATTTGTTCTTTATGGTTGGGTGCAAGTCCTGTAGTATCAGCTCTATTATATTTTGTTATTGGAGATGCAATGCTCTTTTTCTCCTTAGTTTCTTACATCTTCTTGCAAAAAGCAGTAAGATTTAAAAATTTTCTTATTTCAATTAATTTTCTATTTATCTCTTATTGTAAAATAATATTCACTCTGCATCTATTCAACCCAAATACCAGGCATATTAGTCATTCTCGCACAAATGTATGATTAATGAAACACACATGGTGTACTAAGTCTATAAGCTTCTTATCGAAATTACCAACTGTTCTGAAAATTTTATTTCATCATCAATATTGTTTCACTTTCCATTGTTTATGATATTACAAATATTATACTGAACTTTAATTTTCATTTAACAGAATTTAAATTTAGCAAAAATTTACCAGAAAAAGAATTTTAATTTAAGAGAATTGTTCTTTAATCGAATTTTTACTTATTCGAATATTAACACTATTTTTTATTAAACTAAATTCACATTTAATAACAAATTTTAATTCACAAAATTTTCCATTAAAGAGAATTTTTATTTCAAAAATTTTTTATTTAACAGAATTTTAGATTATTTTTTAGATTAATTTTCATTTTTCAAATTGGCATATGACAATATATTTTTTTTCCACAAATTTTTACTCTACATATTTTTTAGGTACTCAATTTTTTATTTGGCAGAATTTTTATTTTACAAAATTTTTCTTTACCAATTTTTTATTTTTAAAAATTCTAATTTAACCGAATCTTTATTAATTTGTCCGAAGTTTTATTTACACAAATTATTTTTATTTCATAGAATTCTGAAAACAACGAAACTTCATTTGTCCGAAATTGAAAATGACCGAATAAAAAATTGACAGAAGAATTTTGGCGCAATTTTAAAAATTTACAAATGAAAATTCGTTGAATTCGAATCACTTAAAATTCTATTCAATGAGAATTATACTAAATAAGAATTCGGTTGAATTAGAACTTTTAAAATAAAAAGTTGACTAAAAAAAAATTCTGTTAAGTAAAAATTTGTTTAAAAAGAAATTTTGTTAAATATAAAATGATAATTCGAAAAATAAAAATTTGATTTTTTTACTTATCCGAATTGTCATCATTATATATTTCCATTTAAACGCTTTTTTATTACAAAATTATTATATAACCTAATAAAAAATCATTTAAATAGCTATTATGTTAAATAAAAATTCAAGCAAATGATTCGAATTCAATAATTCGAACAAATAAAAATTCGTCTGAAAAATAATTATATCAAATGAATTTCTATAAAATGAAAATTCTAATAATTTTCAGAACTCATTCATGCGTTCCTCGAATTTTCATTTAAGATAATATATCTATTGAGACAAATTTTTGTAAGATACAATTTCCATTTTACCGAATTTTCATTTATACAAATTTTTATTTGTTTCAATAAATATCCAACAGAAACATTTCAACGCAAATTTAAAAATTAACCAATCTCAAATTATCAAGAAAATTGTAATTGATTTAATTTTAAAATTAGCGCTTAAATATTATAACATCATTTATCAATGTCTCTAAAATATTACCATAGTTAATAAAATTTTTGAATTTTTTTTTCTTTTTTTTTGTACTTATAACTGTAAATATTTAATATAATTTTATTGAAGAAAAATAACTTTTTTTTAGGATTTTTTCAAACATCATACACTAACGAAAACAAGACATTTGGCTGTTGAGGATGAATTTACAGTGAATGGTGATATTTCATTTTCACATGGACACAGAATCTCTTATCTTCGAATTCTTCGGAGAATTTGGAAATATGGTGTTAGTATATTTTTATTGTTTTTAATAACAATGAGCGTGTGTCCTGCAGTGACAGTGTTGGTAGAAAGTCAAAATCGGGGCCATGGACACGCTTGGAATGGTATAATTTTCTTTTGTTTTTATAAATTTAAAAATTATTGTCATTAACGCGAAACATTAAATATTAATATATTTTTTTTAGATACTTATTTTGTACCCGTTGTTACTTATTTATTGTTCAGTTGTGGCGATTATGCAGGTAGATTATTATCTGGAATTATTTTACGGGTAAGTTTTTTAAAGAAACGGAAACAAATTCTTTTTTCTTATTGATTAAGTAGATTATTATTTCTAAATAGAAATATTTAATGTTTAATTTGTTTATTTAATAATTTTTTAGCCTAAAGGAAAACCTTGTCTCGTCATATTTTTGTGTGTCTTAAGAGCAGCTTTTATACCAGCATTTTTATACTGTAACGTACAACCACGACATAATTTGCCCGTTTACATTGAAAATGATCTCATTTATATTTTAATGACAATTATTTTTGCTACCAGCAATGGTTACTTATGTAATACTATTTTCATCTTGGTTCCCACGTAAGTTTTTTTTTTTTTTCATATTTTAAATAATATAAAATTAAGAACAACAACAAAAAATAACCCTAATCGAAATATTTAATTGACTATATTATCATGTAAATTTTTTTTCCAAAATATTTTATCTCTACAATAATTATGTGTAATAATTATTTTTTTTACAATTTATTTTAGGGCAGTTGAACCTCAAGAGAAAGAAATTGCTTCTGCAATGATTGGAGGTTTCTTAGGTTTAGGAATAACAATTGGCTCGGCTATGAGTCTTGCTTTAGTAAAAGTAATTTAAAAAAAAAATTTACCCTTATTAAAATTAGCATTCACTACCATTTGCATTTGCTATTTCAAAAAAAAAACAAAAACAAAAAAACAAGTCCCAGTTGCCTTAATGTAATATCTTTATAATTGATATTTTTTTATAAAGCCTTTTTCTAATTGATTTTATACAATAGAAATTTATGTATAACATATTCTTAGTGAAGATATTTATTCGACAGGTATATTATTATTATTATTATTATAACAATGGACAAAAATGAAGTATTTGAAAATAATTTTTTAATCAACTATTATGAAAATTATTTTTTAATTTTCAGTTTTATTTTTCTGTGATTGGAAATTTTTTTTTTTTTTTTGAAACACTCAAAAAGAGAATTTTTTTTTTTAAAATGGAAAGAGAAATTAGGAATTTAATTATTATGATCTAATTTTTAAAAATTTAAGATTCAATTATTTCGTTAAGTTGATTAAGAAGCCTGCGCACATTCCGCATAATGTTAATTCACTTTTAAAGAGAAAATTTTTCAATTTAAAAATGAGAAAAACCGGAAAACAATGTAATATGGAGTCTTCAAAAAATTAAAAATAATGTTAAATTATGAGAGACTATTTTTAAGTTAGAATATACAATATAAATAAATGAACGTTATTATAGTTTTAATACTGAAAAAAATGTTATTTTTAAACGTTTTTTGTATAATTTTTAATTCTTCTCAATTTTTCTTTTATCATATACCTACGTCTGAAATAATATAGAATTTTAATTTATTAGAAAACAGATAATATTCGTCAAATCTAGTCATTGTGATATAAAAAACTTTATGAAATTATAAATAAATTAAATATTATAAGAAATTAATGTAAATTAGAAAGAAAGAAAGGTCATATTCGTTAGAATGTTAAGAGCTGTTAAGTTAACATTAAATTTATTGTAGAGTATATAACTTTGTACAATATTCAAGAATAAATTATGAGAATATATATTGAAAAAAAAAACAGTGATTCCAATAAATAAAAATGATAATTATTAAAAATTGCATAATTTTATCTTCCTTTGTCTTTTAATTTAATAATTTAACAATTTTCAATTTGTGCTCCAGTCAGTTAAATAAATAATTAATATAAATAAAAAACAAAGTGAAAAATTTAAACCTTTGTCTCACTGAAGCTGACACGAATTTCATGATCTATATTGTTTCTCTTTATCAGTAAGAGGAACATAAACAACACCCATTAACGATTTACTCTTAATTTCACCATCTACAGTTTTATCAATTTGGAACAATTCTTGATCACCTGCTTCCGGCCCCACCGGAACTATTAGCCGACCACCTGGCGCCAATTGATCAATCAACTGTGAATTATTATTTTTTTTTAAAGCAAATATTAAAAAAGATCAATTAATTAATTACTATCAATTATAATTGTCAATAAAAATAATGTGGTTATATAAACAATCTCAAAGAAGGGATAAGTGTGAATAAGACAAAAAGTTTTTTTTCTCAGACCTATTTGTATGATACTTTTTGAAATTACTACTCCAAGTGAGCCTAATAATATTTTAAAACAGTTTTGCGTTAGCGCGAAGAATTTAGAAGATACAGTCATTTAAATGTTGAAAAATTGTACCAAAATTAAATTTTTTTTTTTTGAGAAGGTTTTTAATTTTTTCAGTACAGGAATTAATGCCGGTTTTCTACTTTCAAAAAAACCTTCGTATATAATGTAGTAGATTCTACCGTAAAAAGTAAAAAGGTACATAAGCGATATTTTTTTCAAAATTGAGTTTTTGGTATCGTTGGATTCATAAAAAAAGCTGCGTCTAATTTATTTTTCATTTTTAACTCCTTTTCCCCTCTTAAAAATTTTTTTTTTATTTTCATTGGAAAGCTGAGATTTTTTCCAACAAATCATGTAAATATGAATTAGTTAAATTTTATTAATTCGATAGTAAAAAAAAATTTTTTTTTACTATTAATTAGTTAAATTAGTTAAATATCTTGTTAACACTTTTGTCAGTAGTTGAATTACTCAAATATTAAAAAAAAATTTTTTAGTTTTCTTTTACGCTTATTGTTTTGTAGGTCATAAAAAAGATTTTTTTTTTTTTGATATTTTAAGTCAAATCTTAGGTTTTTCAACGCAATTTTTACAGTATAAAAATATACAAAATTCCTGAAATGTAACAGATAATTTTCGATTTTATTGTATTCATTTGATAATATATGAAATAAAAACGTTATTATTAGTTAATTTATTTTTTTGTCTATTTTAGAAATTTTATTTTTTTTAAATATTAAAATGATAAAAAAATAATTTATAATTTAAAATAATTAATAATTAATTTAAAATATTAAATGATTGATTGTTCAGAATCAAGAAATTTTCGATTTTATTGTATTCATTTGATAATATATGAAATAAAAACGTTATTATTAGTTAATTTATTTTTTTGTCTATTTTAGAAATTTTATTTTTTTTAAATATTAAAATGATAAAAAAATAATTTATAATTTAAAATAATTAATAATTAATTTAAAATATTAAATGATTGATTGTTCAGAATCAAGAAAAAAGCCTACAAAAAAATTGTCGATAAAAAATAATAAAAATTTTGGTAGAAGTTGAATTAATTGTTTTTCAATTTCCCACAGTATGTTACAGTTTTAAATATTCAATATTGTCAGAAAAAAAAATTGACAACCTTAAAAAGCCTTAATTTCGAAAGGTTGATATTTCAGCGGTCCCTCCCCTTAAAAACTCCCTATTTATAAATTAAAATTCATAAAGTTTTGTTATAATTATATAGATTTGAAAATAATAGTGTTAATTAAAATCTCGAAATTATCACACAAATACATCTGGGTTCAAAAAGTCGTCTTATTGACACTCATCCTTTTTCATTATAATTTATTTCCGATATACTTGAATATAAAAGAAAAAGCAATTTTTTTTTACTCACCGCCTGAGGTAATTCTTTTGCAGCTGCTCCAACATGAATTGCATCGTAAGGCCCACGTGGTTCATAGCCTAATCTTCCATCTCCAACTGTAAATGATTAAAAAAAATATATTAATATAGTTACAGCTATCACCTCCATGAAGTTGGCGTCGAAGCTCAGCGTCGAAATTTATTTTTCACGGGACCAAAAATGAAGGGTAGAATGACAAAAGGGGTCAAGCGCCAATTTATCGAAAATGAGGTTTTTGCATAAAAAAATCAAGAAAATTCATTTACACATTTCTGTAGAAGGATTTCCTTTTTTATTGCGTATTTAAATCAGTTTTTAATACAAATTAAATTAATAAAATAGCCTCAAATTCACTTTATTGCAACCTGATTGAAAAACAAAAGAAAGTGGTGAGTCAATAATATTATGCATAACTTAACAAATTTAAAAACATTGATTTTTACAAATCGAAAATGTCTCGTAGATGCGGAAAAAAATTTACTAATAAAAAAGATATTGTTAAAAAGAAACTATATGAAGGTGAAATGTTTTTATGAATTTCATTCTTCACATTTTTATCCATCTGTTCAGTTTTGATCAAAAATATTATTTTTTTAGGTTTTATTTTAATATTTTTGTTTAATTTTATTTTAATAATATTGTAATTAATAAAATTAATAATAATAATAATAATAATATATTTTCAATTTTAAACAATTTTAAAATCATTTTGTTATTAATTTTTAAATATTTTTATGATTATACTAAGTGAACAATTGAATTTAAAGATGAAAGTATTGCTCAATTCCAAAGCAAGCAATTAATTCGTAATTTTCTTGAAAACAAACAATTTTTTAAAGGAATTTTTTTTTCTATTCATTTCGTCGATTCCATAGAAAGAAACTAATTTTCCAGTTTTTCTTTAAACTGTATATTTTTTTTTATAATTAATGCTTAAAGAAAATGTGCGCAGTTGATATAACCTCAAGGCACCACAGTTTTTTTTTTAAATTTTATCGTTAATATGTAGGTTTATTTCAACCAATTGTTGTATATTTATTAAAACATACTAATATATCTCGAAACGGTTTTCTCAGTTTTTTTTAAATGACCTGCAAAATTTTTAAAAATGTCTTTTTTTACTTCCTGTAAAAACAGTGAATTGGCGCTTGACCCCTTTTGTCATTCTACCCTTCAAATATCAAATGATTTTTAAAAAGATTTTGGGACCACATAATATCTTGAAAAAGTATTTCTCAAAGCATTATTTGGATTGAAAATCTTAAAAAAAAATAATTTGATACTTTTGGTCCTGTGAAAAACAATTTTCGGCGCTGAGCGTCGACGCCAACTTCATGGAGGTCAGCTATATCAACTTCAATATATTATAAATATTGTTTGGAATAAAAATTTGTAAATTATACAGAAATTTACCAATAAGCTCGACATTGGTGCCCAGTAATTCTGGATTTCCTCGTCTTATATTTTTCTCGGCCATTGCTTTCAATTCGGGAATATGATCTATTCCCACAGCTAATCCATCTGGTTGTAACATCATTCCCATACATGCTGTTAAATAACCAGATCCTGATCCTACATCCAGGGCTCGATTACCATTTTGTAATTTCTCTTCAAGAAATTCTAGAGCGTGTGCATGCTAAACAATTTTAAATTGTCTTCTTTTTTTTTTATTAAAAAAAAATTTTCATTCATTAATGGAAACTGAAATAAAAACGTTTCATCTTTTACCATTTATGTGAAAATGATATATCAATTTTTGAAATTAGGTTGTATTTCTTTATAAAATGAATTTTCAATTTCCATTCTTCTTTTATTTGAATTTAAATATAGATGAAAATTTCTTTTACCATGTGTGGAGCACTTATGGTAACACCGTAACCAATTCCTTGTGCAGAATCAACATAAGCATGTTCCGACTGAATGTAAGATCCTCTATCAACAGCCTGCATTGCCTCGTAAACTCTTTGTGTTTTAATTACCTTTGTTCCTTAAAAATTAAAAATTCTTTTATTTTCAAATTAATTTATTGTATTCGTCTCAAAGTATTTTCACTCAGGAAATTTTTAAGTTACGTATATCGCTAATTACGAATATGACGTTAGATTTTAAAAATCCAAAATGTCAAATTCAATATGGCGGTCTTTTCTTTAATTCATTGCATTGAATTCACTTAAAATTTGTTATTCAGAAATTTTTGGTATCTTTGATTACGAATTTAATGTTAGATTTGTAATCCGAGGACTATGTAATTATTAATTATTATTATTATTTATAATATATAAAAATAATAATGTAAAAACCAGAATTTAAATTTTCAAAATTGAATTTGATAGTGCGACATTAAATAAAAAAAAATGTCAAATACGAATTATGTTAAATGAACATTGTACCAAATGACACAATTATGCTAAATAAACATTATGTCAAATAAAAATTATTCTAAATGAATTATAAAAACATTATAATATAAATATGAATAATGTCATAAAAAATAAAAAACATAACCTATAAATCTAGAAGTGCACTTACTTTTGAGATATTGTAATAATTCTCCATTACTGTTGGCTTGAAAACGTCCAAAAAAAGCCATTTCGTAAATACAAAAAGATAATACTGTCACGACTGTAGAAAGCAAAAGAGTTTTTAAACTATTTACATTGTAAAATTGAAATCGAGTAACGTCAACCATAAAGATAAGTTTTTAATTAACACACTTTCGAAGTCCCTTAACTATAAACATATATATATCAACTTACTTCAATTAGATAGGTAAATTTTATTAATGTGTGCGTTTAATAATTTTTTGTTATACAAAAAAGGTATATAAATTTATATTAAAAACAATGTTTTGAAATGTTTTGATAAAAACGATAAAAACTTATTTGATAGTTCTCGATTTTGACGCTGTGAAATTTCATTTCTCAACGCACGCTCACGATCTTTGGCGGGAATTTTTAAATTTATCGAATTAAGTAAAAAATTTGTTTTAAAAAGATTTTATTTTTATAAAATATATTTATATAGGTAATTAAAATTATTTAGAAAAATATGTTTGAACAGGTTAGAAGATGTTCTTATGCCTGTTATATACATATATATGGGCAAATCCACGAAACTTTTAACGAGCTGAAGTAATATTTTACACGCCGCAAAAAAATAAAAACGTTAAGATTATAAACTTTTTCAAGAAATTCAAATGAAATTTAAGCATTTTTTCACTTTTTAACTTATAAAACTAATTGTCAAATAAATATTTTGTTCTAATATAATGTTCGTTTGTATATAATTTAGCAAAAAAAAAATTATACCCAAAGTTTTAATGAAAAATAATTCAGATTTTTAAGTGTTCGATTCGAAAATCACAAAAATTAAAAGTTTCGTGGATTTGCCCATATAATATAATAATGCTTTTACAAATTTATTTTAACTTTTTTATATTATTTTTATGATTTTTTTTTGTCAATTAATTAATAAATTATGACAAAAAGTATAAAATAGACTTTTATTATTAACATTTAATTAAAATATATATACATTACATGTATGCAATTATATATATATAGGTATTTACTATGTTTATAAATAAATATATATAATTGATCTTTAATTATTATTAGAAAAGGCAAATTTAATTTATAATTTCTACTAAATTTTTTAATTAAATCCTATTAACCCTTTCACGCCTATGAGACAAATATTGTCTCACAAAAAAAATCTCAAAAATTTTTTTAAGAAAAATTAATTGTTTTTTCGATGGCTCCGAACGACACTATCTCAATTCTAGCAAGTTCCTGTATTTTGTCTAAGACTTTCTATTGTTCATAAAAAAATCTAAATGCTTCTTGAAAAACGTGTAAAAAAAATTATTTACTTAAAAAAAAGTCCTGAACAAACTTTTTTAGATCAAAGAAGTATTTACTTATTAATTTTTAAAAATTCAAAATGGCAGATCCAATATGGCGGACATTTTTGAAAATCGTATTAATTACTTTGAAACTTGTTACTCGTTTTTGAGATCGCAAATTAAAAATCCGATATTAGTTTATCAAAATTCAAAATGTCGAATTCAATATAACGAAAGAAAAAATTTGTTAAATTAATTAGATTTGCTTGAAACTTATTACCTGTCGGTTTTCGCTGATTGCGAATCCGATGTTTGTTTTTCAAAATTCAATATGGCGTATCCAATAAAGCAAAAAAAAAAAAAAAAAATGTTCAGTTTTCCCTGCGTGTGAAAAGGGTTAATATCATCATTATCATTAAGTATCAGATTTTTGAAGTTGACTACTCGCATCAGTAAGAGGTACATAAGAAACTTGCATAATTTTTTTTTTTGAAATAACACCATCTTTGTTTTTGTCAACTTGAAGTAGATCCTGAAATTTTTGAAATCCCTCTACTGCCACCACTGGACAAATAAGTCGACCTCCTGGCGCCAATTGATCAATAAGCTGAATGTAAAGAGAAAAATTTAATTACAAATAATTGAAAAATAATAACTATCAATATATAAATTACCTAACAAAAATCATAATTTAATTTGTAAACATACTTTTTGAGGTAATGTTTCAGCAGCTGCCCCAACGTGAATTGCATCATAAGGTCCATCAGTTTCAAATCCATGTCTGCCGTCAGCCACTATGTATATGACCTGTTGTTAGTTTTCTGTATAACTTTATGTGACTTTTTAAGTTCGACACAGCAAAGCCATTTATCACATTTGATTCCTCATTTATTTAAAATTGTCACAACATCCTGATAAAAAGTTATCTTTTGAGTTTCCTTTTATATTCTCATAGTTTCAAAAATGCCAAATCGCACACATTATAAATACAGGTCTCGGTCTTGACTTGATAAGGCACAAAAAAAGTCGTTTCAGTCGATTTATATTTTCAATAAAAGTTGAAAAAGTCGATTTTTTTAATTTAAAAAAAAAATTTTTAATTGGTTAAACAATATTTTACTTTAAATAACTAATGCTTTTAGATATTAAATTCATTTTATTAATTCTGTAAATTTTTTTTAAATAATAATAATAATAATAATTTTGGAAGAGTTAAAAGTTGAAACTTTTAGAAATAATTGAATTTCAAAAGATTTTGTTAATTTTCAGACAATAATTAAATTTTACAGAACTAAAAGTAATTTATCAAATAATTTTAGATAACCTTTTTTTAAAATGTAATTGAATTTTCAAAGACTTATAATTTATATTTTTTAAAATTAATTGAACTTGAAGTGATTTTTAATTAAATTTTTTTTGATGATTTCACTAAAAACTTTATTAGAATTTGCAGATAAAAATAGAATAATTTGAAAAACCATTTTTAAGGGAAAATTGGTTTCAGATAGTTGAATTTTCGAAGAATATTATAAAAATCATTTTTGCAAATATGTAATTAAATTTCAAGTGATTTTAAATTAAATTTTTTTTTTCTAAATTATAAACAATTATTAAATTTCATAAAAATTTTTAATTGAAAATTAGTTTAAGATAATTGGAATTTTTGAAGAATTTCATTAAAATTATTAAAAATAATTAATTTAGTGAAGAATTTTATTTAAAAATTTGTTAAATAATTGAAATAAAGAAGATCTGAAGAATATCTGCATTGTATACTAAAAAAACGTATTTTCTATAAAATTTTTTTTAAAAAACGTAAAAAAAGTCGCATTTTATTAAAATAAGTCAAAAAAATCGTATAATCCGAGGCCTGTAAATATATATTTCTCAAATAAAATATATATAGTTTCTCCAAATTGGTATTTGCAGAAAAAAAAACACCCTCTTATTATTATGCTTTCGAGAAATGAAAAAAAATTATTCTAACAATTTTTCATTAATTATAAAAGTAAAATTTTATGTTTTGCTCAAAAGGATATTTTCATCAGGGTTGTCAATTGCATATCATGATTTATTTGAATTTAATAATAAAAATTTTTTTCCATTAATTTCGCTTCTTGCAAGAATAACTAAACATTTTTTGTTTTTAAACTCGAGGAAATTTGTAAAAAAAAAAAAAAATTCACAAAGAAACAATTTATTATAATAAATATATAATATAAAAATATAACAACCTCAAAAAAATAATAATATCTCACCTACAAATTTGACGCGACCCTCCTTTAAAAAATGGGGACAATCTTCTTGAATATTTTTCATGGCAATTTCAATAAGTTCAGGAATATGTTCTACTCCAATAACTTTGCCCTTTGAACCCACCATAAAAGCCATACAAGCTGTTAAATATCCCGATCCTGAACCAATGTCAAGGGCTTTTCCACCATCCTTCAATTGATCAGAAAGAATTGATAAGGCATAAGCGTGCTAAAAATAAATAACAATAAGCGCGACTATATTTTTAGAATTTAAAAATAAGTATTATAAATAATGATAAAAATTATAAACTAGCGCAACAAAGAAATAACTCGAAAATATCCCGTGTGTGTCAAATTTGATGAAATATAAAATGTTTACATTTGAAGATAATTATTAATTTTAATGTCTCATTTTAGAAAGGAGATAAATTTATATGTATAATTATCTATATATATAAAATTCATTAAATATTTACCATGTGAGGTGCGCTTATTGTGACGTTATAACCAATTCTTCGAGGACGATCTAAATAGGGATCGACATCGTGACAAAATCTTGCCCTATCAACTGCAATCATTGCTGCTTCAGCACTTGTAGTAGAAAGAATGCCAGCATCTGAAATCATTTTTTTTTTTTCATTAATTATAAATTTTTTTAATTAATATGTTACTCACTACAAAAATATTTTTATTGTCTATTAAAATAATCTTATTAAATAGATGAAAATATATTTACAATAAATATTTATTTGGTAAAAAAATTTTTTATTGAAGTTGTAAGCAATCGACCAGCACCAAAATTGATTTTTTCTGTATTATTTATTTACATTTATTGTTGAAATTATTCGATATTTAAAAAAAAAATTGATTTTTCTAAAATACTATTCTTTTAATAAAAAATTTAAAAAAATTACTCCTATTATACCAAATAAAAATTATTCAATTTAATACAAATATTATTCATGTTTTAAACTAATATTTTTTTTTATTCAATATAATTTGCTTTATTCAAAATTTACCTTTTAATTTAATAACCATTTCTTGATTAGTAGCTCCATTGCAGCGCCATGCCATATTCTATATCAATAATCGTAAATAAACTGTAACAAAAAATATATTAAAACGTTAATTATAATTTATTAAATAAAAAATAGAAAAACAGAATTTTATCTCTTTTTTTTGAAATTAAAGTGTATTTTACATTAATTTTCTCTGAATACAGTGAAAGATTTTTGAACAAATTTTTTGTTAAAAAAAAAACGATTAAAAATTATTTAAACAAAAAGTCAAAAAAAAAATGTTCAATATTTAATATGGAAAATCTATTGTTAAAATTGAAATGGAAAATTGATTTAGAATTTAAAAATTTTGTTTAGAAATAATCTTGGTTATATGAAATTTTTATCAATGATTTTTAAATGATAAAATCAATATTCGCAAAACATTTTAAATACATTATCAGAATATTTCCAAAGGATATAAATTATATTCTAATATTTAATATTTATTCATTTCTAATTCCTCACGAGACTTTCTGACAGATTGAGCTGAATATGAAAATGAAAAATTGATGAAAATTAGTTTTGTTTTATATTTAGTTATGCAACACACGCTTATTTCATGTGTCACGTTTAGATTTTTCTCTGATAATAATTAAAAAAATTGCAAATTTTCAATTATTGTGAAATCTACAAACATACGCATAAAATTAATGGAAAATTATTCAAAAATTTTTCTAATTTAGAGGAGAAAATAATTTAATTATATACGATATTAAAAAAAAAATGTTCTTTTTTTTAAACAAAAATAAATGTCAATTTTTTTCATTGAAACCTTTTTTTTATAGAAAAAAAAAAATATTGAGAAGAAATATTAGAAAATATTGAAAAAAATAATTTTTAAATAAAAAAAAAATATGTAATGAATCTTCTTATTTTATTCTCAATGTAAAAATCTAATTAATTAATCAAATCAATTTTTACTTAATTTACCTACTAATTTATTAATTAGTTTTTTTTTTAAATTTGATGATTTTGAAAAAACATTCTGTGATTAAAAACTGAAAAGTTTTATTTTAAAAATATTCTTTTTGAAACTTTTTTTTTTTTAAATATAAAAAAGAATTATTTATTTTATTAAATATAATCTTCCGGGTGAATAAATTTTTTTTATATTTGTTTTATGAAAGTATAAAATAAATTCAAGGTTACAATATCCACAGAATTCTTTTAATGATTTGCATATAAGATAATAAACCAGAAAATAATTGGTTCTTAAATAACATGTATAGTAATAAATTTAAAGAATTTGCGACTGTCCATGGATTTTAATTTTATTTTTTATTATACATTACTATAAATAGGTGCAAAATTTTGAAATATATAAATTTTTTCAAAAATTACACAAAATTTATTTATTTAGTTAAAAGTTAAGTAAACAAATTTTTTTTAATAAAATAATTTTATACTTATAATTCCTTAGGAGGAAAACATAAAAAATAATCGAAATTTTAATTCCTGACATTGTTTATAATATTACAAAAATAGCAAAATTGTTATAAAGTTATTATTATTGTTGATGACATAATTGCGACATTTCTTATTCAACTGGTTACTCTAGGAATTTTTCCTAAAATTACAACTATATTATGCAATTAATTGAAAGCAAAATATTTTGTTTTTTAAGTTAAATTGGAAACGAATTTTTTTTTTTTTTTTTTTTTTTGAAATAATATTTGTACTGAATTTTTTCTGAAATATTTTAAAATCCTATAATATTATATTAAAATTTTACCAACTGATATCAAAATTTATCTTTTCTTCAAAAATTTTAACTTGCAAACAAAGTTAACCTTTTTTATTTTTTGTGAAATAATAATTTTTTTTTATAAAGTCAAAAAAAAAAAAAAAATTTTGACACTCAAAAAGAGAACAAAAAATATTTTTTTGATAAGAACAAAAAAAATTTTGAAGTTACAAAAAAAAGATTTATTTTCTTTTTAATAAATAATTATTTCCAACATTTATAAATCTAACAACATTAACTAATTTTTTAATGCAAAAATAAAAAAATTGAATTAAGGTAACCAAAATTACAACAAGGTGAGGAAAAAAATGTGTTGAGTCTGTTTATAAATTAATTTTATTACTGTACAAATTAATTCATTAAGAATATTTTAAAAAAATCTTTCACAAAAATAACAAAATTAACTAATTTTGTAATATAAATAAAAAATTGTATTAAGATATATTAACTATAATAAGTATATAATAATCAGTATACTACGACCGAGTTGAGCGTTAACGAAAAAAGATTATATCGCTAGTTTATTATAAATCTAAAATAACCATAAAAAAAAAATTATTCCGCTTGGATAAAAAGAACATATAAAATGAGTATATAATTTTTTTTTTCACTCTTTTATGAAAATAAACACGTCTTTAAAAACAATATGTCCTACAATGTGAGTTACTACATCAAATTTTTGTGCTTTGAATTAAAAAAAAAATTTATTTTTTTTTGATAAGATTGTATAAAAACATTAATGAAAAATTTACAAACATTTTTCATACATACAATATATATATATATATATATATATATATATATAAAATGGGACTAAAGAAAAAATTTAATCGCCTTGACTTTTCCGTTGTCACATATAAACTACCTCCACTGCGTTCAACTTATACGTCCAATTAAAATCTAATTATTCAATCACCTATAATTTTCCATTTTAGTGTAATAAAAATCATGTACGAATTCATTGTGAGATAAGAGGAGTTAAACTCACATGGTCTCGCGACCGATTCGCGTAAAGACAATGAAAATCACAGAAGGAGAATATTATTGTTAAAACCGCAAAGTGTATATGACAAAAGTGAAAGAACCGAAAAGTCATTACAGTTTGAAAAACCGCGACACGAGCACTATTAATGAGACACTAAAAAAAAAATAATAAAATTTTTTTTTTTAATTTCAATACATATTTTCCAAAATTATACAATAGAGAAAGAAAAATTAAAAAAAATCAATTGACTACATATATAATATTGATTAAAATCAGATAAAATACAAAAGATTTCTCTTTGATATCCGCGCGTTTGTCAAAATTAATAATCAAACTAAATTCTTTTGAAAAATTAATATTAACAAGAATTTTTTTTTTTGCAAAGTTAATTGAAATTATATATTTTACAAATGTGATCGTTGGATTTAAATGTGATTTTTTCATCAAATGTGAGATTTTGTTTTCATATTTAAGTGACGTAGGTGAAAAATTAATTTTTTCGAAATTGAAAACTATTATTAAAAATAGAAACAAAAAAAAAAAAGAAGCAATAATGTCAGAAAAAACAATCACACCTTCTATACCAGGGAAAAATCGACAATATTTAGCTGCAACTACAGGTCTGTAAGCTTTTAATTAAAAATTTTAATAGAAATACATTTGAAAATTTGAAAATATATTAAATTAATATTTTTTTGAAGTAGAAAACAATATTTGGATGAAACTTTTACTAAATATTTTTTTTTTATTTTTATAATTTTTGTGTTATTTTAACTTCAATTTTATTTATTGCAAAAGTGAAAATTAAAAAAAAATTTTTTTTTAGTAAAATACTTCCAATACTGATTGGAATATATTTATTTAGAAAAAGTGATCGCCTACTGTTATTTTGTATAAAGTGAATAATAATAAATAATCAATATAATATAATAATTAAATTTATTCAATATAACTAATTTGCTTATTATTTATTTATTTAATATAATAAAAATATTTAATATAGACGTTTTATTTTAACCATATATACATGAAGTTTTACTTTGTATCAAGACATTGTTATTATTCATTCAAATGATTTTGAAAGATTACCTATACTTTAAAAATTTGATAACAATTTAATAAAAAAATTGAAATTTTTGTTGGAATCATTCAAAAATCTTACACAATATTGAACATGAACTTGACAAAGGTTGGGAAAAATGCACTATAATTTTGATAATATGATGATATTCACTTAATAGAAATCTTCGTGATACAAAGTAATAATTATGTCGTTGACAAGAATTTTACTTCCTCCTTTCTTAAAAATCTTCACTTTTAATGAAAAAAAATATATATATATTTTCAATGAATACCATTTTTATTTTTTTTAATTATATATATATTTATATTTTTTCATTCAACGGAATTTTATGTGAATCGAATTTTTCAGTGGCAAAATTTCTAATTCACCAAATCTTCATTAATTGGTACGAATTTTTATCTGCATGAATTATTATTTCATTATTTAATAGAATTCTTAAAATACCTAATTTTTATTTATCCAAAATTGCAAATTGCCGAAAAATTAATTGACAAAAACATGAAGGTGCGATTTTCAAAATTAACCAATTTGGAAATAATCAATAAAATTGTGATTAGTTAATTTTAAAAATCGGGTCCACATTTATTTGTCAATTTATTTTTTCGGCCACTTGCAAATTTCGAACAAATAAAAATTTATCGTTTTAAGAATTCTTATAACAAATTATTTTTTAAAACAGAAAATTATAAAATTTATCTAAAAAAATGTTTTTTATAATTTTTTAATCAATACACATATTGCAAAAAAAAACATAATAAATAAATAAAACGAAAATTTTATTCATAGAATTTTTCATGCAAAAAAATATTTCTTTGAAAATCGATGATCATAAACATTGTGAACTTCAGCATCGTTATAAATGAAGATTCGTTGAATTGGAAATTTTGGCACTGAAAAATTCGAATCACATAAAATTTTGTTGAATGTGAATTCTAATAAATTTAAAATCGTCGAAATTATAATTCTATGAAATAAAAAGTTGGGTAAAGAGAAATTTTGTAAAATAAAAATTCTGTCAAATAAAAATTTTGTGCCTAAAAATCTGTTAAGAAAAAAAATTCGTTTAATTAGATATTCTGTCAAATGTCAAATTCGAAAAATAAAAATTCGTCTAAAAAATAATATTGTATCTAATAAAATTCTTTAAAATGAAAATACTGATTATATTTTTATGGGATAATCATATGCCCAATAATTCAACACCAAAAAAAAAATTAATGTTTCTCTATCAAAAAAAAGGGATGCATGATTATGTTCTAAAAATCATTAGTTAAAATTTTCATTTTTAGGAATTTCATTTGTCATAATTATTTTTGAGACGAATTTTTATTTCTTCGAATTAGTATTTTGCAGAATTTTCATCAAAACGATATTCTATATTATTATAGAATTTTTATATAACCGAAAATTCACAGAATTTTTATTTGTCAAAATTTTTATTTGCTCGAATTTTCATATAATTGAAATTTTAAAGAATTTTTATTGGGTAGAATTTCATTGCATAGAATTTTCATTTTATTCTTTCAGATGAATTTTCATTTGTTCGAATTATTATTTGATATGATTTCCATATAACCAATTTTTCATACTAATGAATTTTTACTTAACCGAAAAATCATTTAACAGAATTTCTAATTCATAGAATTTTTATTTGTCCGAAATTGTAAATGTTCGAACAAACAATCGACAGAAAGATTTTGGCGCGATTTTTAAAATCAACCAATCACAATTTTATGGATAATTTTTGATCGGTTAATTATAAAAATCGCGCCGAAAAATCTTTTTCTCGATTGTTTGTTTCGGTCATTTGCAATTTCGGACAAATGAAAATTCTATCAATTAGAAATTCCGTTAAATGATTTTTCGGTTGAGTAAAAATTCTGTAGCATGAAAAATCGGTGATATATGGAAATTCTATCAAATAATAATTTTGAACAAATGAAAATTCATTTGACAGAAAATTCTATGCAACGAAATTCTACCCAATAAAAATTATTTAAAATGTCTATTATATGAAAATTCGAGGAAATAAAAATTCGAATAAATAAAAATTCGGCTCAAAAATAATTATGAGAAATGAAATTCCATAAAATGAAAATTCTAACTAATGATTTTTAGAACATAATCATGTGTCCCAAAAAAATAATATCTTCATTTTTTGGTATTCTTTTTTTTTTAGTGAGTTTGTCGGCCCTTGCTTATGGAACATCATTAGGATGGGTGGCTCCCGTTCTTCCACGTTTATTAAGTGAAGAGACACCGGTGGGAAATGAACCCATGACAGACGAAACAGCCTCATGGCTTATAAGTTCATTATGTCTGGGTGGTTTGATAACGACACCAATTTTAGGACCACTCGCTGAAAAATTTGGTAGGAAATTTGTGGGATGCCTCATTGCATTGCCATTGATACTTAGTTGGCTACTAAAAATTTTTGCTCAAGATTCAAATTATCTTATTGCCGCGAGATTTTTCGCTGGTTGCGGTGGTGCTGGTAGTATTTTTGTAATTTCACTTTACATTTCGGAAACGACAAGTGATGCAATACGTGGAACTGCAGGAAGTTTTTTGGTTCTTTTTCTCAATATTGGAATTCTCCTCTCATATATCATTGGACCAATTTTATCATTTAGCTTCTTTGGTATTGTTTGCCTTTGTCTGCCAATATTTTATCTTGGCTGCTTTGTCTTCTTACCGGAAACACCAGTGTACTTAATTAGGAACAATAGACTTAATGATGCAATCAAGTGAGTTAAATATGGATATTTCTATTATTCTAGTCTTTACGATGTGCGGCAAACAAAAATTTCGCGTAAACATATTGAATTACTGGAATAGGTTTTTTTTTTAATAACTACACCAAGTTTTTACAGTTAGAGAAAAAATATATTTTTCACACATGTTCAAAAAAAAAAAATTGTAAAATTTTCATTTACTTACAATACACTATATTTGATTCGAAATGAAAAAAAAAGTTATTTTTCCGAATTTCATAATGAAATTTAAAAGTAATGAATTTTAGTGTATTAAAATAAATTAAGAATTTTTCAAATAAATTTTATCAATAAATAAATCATAGAATGAACGAAAGCATATTGGATCAACCATTTCGAATATATATTTAGAAAAAAAAATGGTAATTGATTATTGTGGGACACGTAAATCTAATTTACGTTTAACTTTTTGTAAACAAGAATTCTTAAAATAGAATTTCTGATTGCAGATCATTGTCATGGTTAAAGGAGGGAAATAAATCAGCAATTGAACAGGAATTAGTTTATCTACAGGGTCAAGCAAAGGAAACGAGTTTTTCAAAATCAGCAAAATTTTCTGATCTCTTTAAAGAGAAAGGGACAATCAAGGGATTGATTATTGCATTTATTTTACTTGGTGGACAACAAATGTGTGGAATGTTTGTGATGGTAATAATTAGGTTTTTTTTTTACTAAATATTATTTAATAATTCCCAATCTGTTTTAAATTCCTTAATTTTATATGTAAGGAATTCTCTGAGAAAATAGCCACTCAAAATTAGCTTATTTGAAAAAAAAAATTATAGAAAGTACAGTTGGGATTGAAATTTTGATAGAAACATTGCGTTATTTTCAACTTCGTATAATTATGACAAAATTTTTTGGAATTTTATTTGTAAATAGAATTTATTGAAGTATTTTTCATGTGATTTTCCATTACAAAAAGAAGTTTTTTCAACAAAAAAAAAGTTACACCATTTTTTTCAAAATTAACTATTAAAATTAATTAATTAATTTAAAAAAATTAATCATTTTTCCTTTTTTAACCCATTGCCTTGTTTAAAAATTTTTTTTATTTTTATTGAAAAGCTGAAATTTTTCGTAAACCGATTGTTGTTCCATTTTTGTATTTATACAGTTTATTGGGAAAAAATTTAGCTTTCCAATGAAAAAAAAAAAAGAAAAAAAATGTAAAGGGGTGAAAAACGATTAAAAATTAAGGTTTAATTTTGACAAAAAAAGGGTTTAAAATTTTGTTGGGAAAAACTTTTTTTTGGGCATTGAAAACAAAATAAAAAATGCGTTAAAAGCCCTTATTTGCAAATTAAATCCATAAAATTTTGTCATAGTTATGTGGATTTGAAAGTAACAATGTTTCTTAAAATGGAAAAATTTTTTTTGTAAAAATTTGAGCTATTTTATTTTTAACATTTTCAATAATTTAAAGTTGCATTTTATGAATTGATATTAAAAAATTTTCACATAGTAAAAAACGATTTTCATATTTCAGATTAGGATACCTAAAACGTTTTACACTGTTAGAAAATTGTAATTTTTATTAAAATACATCTTTTAATGTTTCAGATAATTAAAAGAAAAAAAAAAAAAATACAAAATTTGAAAAATTGCAAAAATATGCACTGAAAAAAATTCTTAATTGTAAATTATATTCTATTTCAAAATACCAAAAATATGGATTAGAACTAACTTTTATTTCGATTGTTTATAGCTAATTTTCTTTCTGTGGTTTTGTATTTTTTTTCATTTTTTTTTTTTTTTTGACAAATTATTAAATTTCCAATTATTTTTTTGTTTGTTTCAGCTTAGTTATGCAACGAAAATTTTCGAAATGTCCGGAAGTTCCATTTCACCGGACATATCAACAATTATTATTGGAATAATGCAATTAATTGGCTCTTATATTTCAACATTTCTCATTGAACGTGCGGGTAGAAAATTATTGACAATAATTTCATGTGCTATAATGTGCACTTGTCACGTTGTTCTTGGTATATTTTGTCATTTTCAAGCATTAGATTATGATTTAACATCAATTGGATGGATTCCTGTAATTGCCCTTTCAATATTTGTCATGGCACATTGTTTGGGATTGGGTCCCGTACCATTTATTGTGGTTTCGGAAATTTTTAAACCCGATATTGCAAGTTTAGCGAGTTCAATATCATTGAGCTCATTATGGATTCTTCTCTTTCTTATTGTCAAATTTTTCGCTTCAGTAATGGCATTAATTGGAATTGCCAATTGTTTTTTTATTCTCGCTGTATTTTGTGCTTGTACACTTTTTCTTACAATTGCCATTGTTCCCGAGACAAAGGGTCGTACTATTGAATCTATTTTCAATGAACTTAATGGAACATCTCAATCTAATATTAAGGCTTAATTTTTGTTGTTATTATTATATTTATAATGTAAATTATTATCAATTTTTTAAAAGTAATTTTTATTATTACAATTACTATTAATAATAATAATAATAATAAAAATGATAATTAAAAAATTAATTTATTCTTCAAGAATACTGTTCAAGAATAATATTTATTTATGATGTATTCCACGCCAAAGTGTAAGTCCATATGCAATTGCATCTCCGATTTGGGTTTTTTTTTCTTTTAGTACTTATTGAGACTAGCTTCCATGAATTTTTTGAAATTTTTTTAGCAACCCATTTTTGAGTTATGGAATTTTGAAAATTGGAGAATTTTCATGACTTTTAATATTTGATTGCTCATAATTTCCTTAAAAATGCATCAATTTTAAGTCTTTTTTTCAAAATGTGTGTTTTTAAACGTAGGGGAATAGTGGCAGGGTTGGACACAGTTTTGGTTTTTTGTTTATAAATCTTTTGTTTAGATAAATTCAGTCAATTGTGGTATATGGGTGGAATGATATACAAAAGAGGAACACTTCTGCTGTGGACCGTAAATTGATTGGTCCAAAATTAAAAAAGTTATAAACATTTAAAAAAAAAAATCTAGTCAGGGTTGGACTTTTCAGTCAGGGTTGAATACTTTTTGAAAATCGAAACGCATTATTGGTAAAAACGTAAAATAACATTTGTAATGTTTTTTATTCTTATTTTTTCATGTTTATCTTTACTTATTGTTTACAAATTGTAAAGTTTCATGGGTTTAAAAAAGGAATGAACTCAAATTACAAAAAATAACGCTTTATTGTTCCAAATAACTCAATGAAATGATGAACAAAATTTATACAATTTAAGTATTATTTTTCTAATATCTTTGGCACAATTTTGCACTGAAATATTAATAAAATAAAATTTATTTGTATATTTATTTATAAATTGTGTCAAATTCATAATTAATATGGGTGTCCATCCCTAACTGTATAAAGTGTCCAACCCTAACTAGAAGCATCATTTTCGAATTGTGCTAACCATAACCAGACATGTGTCGCGATTCGATTTTTCACTTTTTTTCTTCTTAAATTATGTACCCCACAATACATTCAATAAGCTTACCTTGCCGAATTCTTGCTTTTTTTACACATTTTTTAGGTTTATTCACAAGTCAAACAAAACTTTTTTTGTCTCTTCGATTGCACCGAAGTCACAGGAGACGCTACTTTTGATTCTCCAAAAATGTTATGCCACAAAAAGTTGGGTTACACTACTAGAAGATTCGTCACGTACGCACACAGGTGGCGCTAGTGTTCTTATTTAAAAAAAGCCAAGTGTCCAACCCTGACAAGTGTCCAACGTATACTTATATGTATTCTGATGCGCTACTTACGAAAATCATAGTGACAATACCCAAAAATTTGATTTTTATGGTGAAAACCATAAAAAAAAGTCCTAAAATTTATGGTTTTTTTTTCGTTTATTGGGTAAAATACGCATTTTTAAGGAAGTTATGAGCATTCAAAAATTAAGTCATGAAAATTCTCTAATTTTCAAAATTCCATAACTCGAAAACGGGTTGCTAAAAAAATTTGAAAAAATTCATAGAAGCTAGTCTCAATTAGTATACTAAAAGAAAAAAAACTCAAAAAAAATCAGAGATGCAATTGCAGATGGACTTACACTTTGGCGTGGAATACATCTTATATTTAATATAGTTTAAGAATTTTCATAGTATATATATTATGATGAAAAAATTTATTCATTGTTGATTTTGTCAATAATTTCACAAAGACATAATTAAAAAATTTTTAATAAAAAATTATTAATAAAAATTTCTTAGGATAATTCTTTCAATTTTATTTTGAAACAAGTGATAATTTTTTAGTTGAAAATTAATTAATGTCCTATTTTCAAATTTCTTTGTTTATTTAAAAATTTATTCACAAGAAAATAAATTTTTTTAAATAAAACAATTTTTTCATTATCACCTTCCTATTAAATATGAAATATATAATGTAATATAAAAATATTTTTTTTTTACGATAATTGCTGTTTATTTTTTACTATTAGAATAAAAATTAATGAGCCAAAAGTTCTAAACGTTCAAAATTAACAAAATATTTTTTTCAATCTATAAATTATTAAAAATTATTAATGTCAATGTAAAATAAAACAGTAAATTAATAACCTCTTTTTAGATATTTAATATTTTGTAAAAAAATTCTTTGTAAATTTGCAACAAAGAAAATTTCGTTCATTTGAATGTTCAAAACTTTTAGCTCCTAAAAATTAAACATTTGTAAATATAATATAAAAATAAAAAAAAAATTTACCATAAATAATTTAAGGAAATATTAAACCATATAACTGTAAAGTATATCGTTAAATTTAAAAAATCAACTGTCAGATTAGAATGAAATTATATGTATTATTACCTGTGTTCTATTTTCTTTATTCCATTATTATAATATATGGACAATATTATTGATGATCTGCAAAAAAAATCACCAGTATCGAAAACGTTGAAGATTCGAAACAAAAAAAAAATAAAGAATCAACTGCAAGCAAGAGAAAAAAAAATAAGTGACTGATGTTATTTTTTCTTGTTTATAACTGAAAAGAAAAATATTAAACTATTCACCTGACTTTAAAGACAAGCACTGACCTCATTCCCATGGAAAATAAATAGAAACAAAGAGCATCGAGCGCCATCTTGTAACCAAACTTCAAACGTGTAAACAAAACATTTTTTTTCTTTTGTAAATAAAAATATTTTTTTATATATTAATTAAAATTAATTAATTTATACTAAAGAAAAAGTGTTTTTTTTTTTTTTTTGGAAAAAATAAACATATTTATTAAAAATATTTTATTTCCTAAAGTATCGTTTCATGGTACTTTCTAAAAATCAAATGTAAACTTTCTTACCTTCAATTGGTAAATGAAGAAAAAAGACTTAGGTAAATGTACAAAAAAAATTATTTTCAAAAAGAAAAATATTAATTTTTCACAAAAATCATGAATTAATGTTTTTTTTCTAATTCGCTATTTAAATATGTAATTATTATTATTTTATAATAGAGATTTACCTATTATTTCGAGAGGCTTTAAAAAAAAAAATTTCATATTGCAATCAATCATCACATCTTTTTCGTACATTTTTTTGTCCAAATTTTCGCTTCTTAAATGTCGAAGGTGCATGATCTTCATCGTCACTTCCGGTTATTATTCTATCAATTGTTTTTTCCTTGAAAATTCGTTGTGAAGGCGGTGGTAATTCATTTTGTATAATTGGAGCAGCTGGCGCTTCTTTTTTCCTTGGTAATTGAAGATCAACTGGTTTTGTTTCACTGAAAAAAATAGTAAATAAATAAATAAATAAATAAAATAAATAAATAAAAATTTAAAAATTTAAATATGAAAATTAAATTAAACAAAAAATTGTATTCATTGAAAATAATGAAAAATAAAGTAATTAAATAAATATTTAAAAAAAATTTCTTTTTTTTCATTATTCTTATTATTTGAAAAAGAGTATAACTTACACAATTTTTACAGTTTTCCAAGAACCATAGGGTTGTGGTTTTTCAGGAACACTATAATCTCTTCTATAGGGAATTTCTTCTTGTTCTTCATCTTGTTCTTCCTCTTGTCGAATTTTTCGAATCTCCTTCAATTTTTCCCTTTCGGCATTCGCTCTCTTCTCTTCTAATACAATCGCCATTTCCGACGCTTCCTCATCGTCGAGTTGATTTAAAAGTTCCTCTTGAATTTGTTGCTCTTTTAACTCTTCCTCTTGTTCGGCTATTGTCATAAAACCTTCTTCGGGAATCTCCCATATAGTTTCTATATATGTGAAAAAAACAAGTTTCTATTTAAAAAAAACTAATAATATAATAATATAAAATAATTAATAAAATTATTCATCTCGTTTATAAATAAATAAACAAATAAAATGAATTTACCACTTAAGAAAATTTTAATAAAACAAAAATATTTTTTAATAATATAAGATAAAGATTTTAATAAAAAATTAAAATGTTTTAATATAAAATAAAATTATGAATTTTATGAAAAAAAAAAATTGAATATAAAATAATACGCAAATGAGGTAGGTATTCTCTGAGAATAAATCAACAACTAAAATATTATTACATTGACTTAATATTTTGATAAATTGTTGTTCTATATATATAAGGGTAAAAAATCCCTGAAATAAAAACGTGACAAAAAATTGATTTCTTACATTTTCTCGCAATGTCCCATTTTCCCAAACATAGTTTGTTGGAAAAAAAACTTGACCTTTCAATAAAAAAAACTAAAAAAAAATTTTGTTAAATAAACAATGTAATGGAGTTAAAAATGAAACGTATTTAATTTTTTAAAAAATTGTGTTAAAAATTTTTTCATTGAAAATTTAACTGTGATCACTTCTTCAAATGCTTTTTAAATTCCCTTATCTGTCTTATTCAGAACTTCATATATTTAACAAAAGTTTAAGGATTTAAATTTTTGAAGGGTTTTTCATGTACTTTTTTTCAGAAAAAAAAATTTTTTTTAACCTTTTCTGTTAAAATTAACCCTTATTTTTTCATTTGAACTCTATTGTACCTCTTTAACAATATTTTTTTTTATTTTTTTTTTAAAATTAAGATTTTTTTCCAAAAAAAAAAAACTTTGTAAATATAAAAAATGGGACAACAATAAATTTCCGTGAAAATGTAAAAAAGGGCAAAAAATTTCTATTTTTTAATTTTCTCTCAAACCGATTGTTGTCTCACATTTATAGTTACATAGTTTATTGAAAAAAAATCTCAAATTTTCAATGAAAATAACAAAAAAATTTTGAAAAAATGTAGTTACAAATTTTTTTTTAATTAAAAATGTATACAATTTTTTTTTCTAAAAAGAACTAAAAAATCTTTCTAAAAACCATATTTACAAATTAAAATTCATAAAGTTTTGTCATAGTTAAACGAATTTCAAAGTTACTAAAAATGTTGAAAATATTTTCTATAATTTTTTTGTTTCCTTTAATGAATATATATATATATTTCAGGGATTTATTTACTCTCATATATATAACAATTTACCAAAGTCTTAAGCCAATCCAATAATTTTAAATTTATATTGGCCCTTTTTTCTCAGTGAATATTTCAAATATTAATAAAGCTTAGAAACAAAAAAGGAAATAAATATATGAAGAAAATTTGTTTTTTTTTTTGATTATGTTACTTGGAAAGCGTAAAAAGTTTTAAAATACAAGGAATTTCTTTTCGTAAGTCTTCTTTTATTTGTACTCGTCATAAAGAATAAACACATAATAAAATTTCTACGAAAAATGATAAATATATTATTTTCTTTTTTGCACGTGAACTATTACTTAATATTTTTCATTGCTTTTTTTTGCATCGTTTGATGCATTGATATTTTAATTTATTGCAAAAAAAAGAGAGAAAAATCGAGAAAAAGAAAATATTTAATAAATCGTACCATTTGTTTCAATGTGCCAGTAGTATGAATATCCCTCGGGACTTTTTGCTTCATACCATAATTTTGGAATTTTTTTACTTTCATCTTGAGTAACTTTACCTTTTTGTTTTTTATTTTGTTTAAATTGATTCCCACCTTTTGATGAATTACCTTTTGGATTCAATGGTGGTTTTGGTCTTTTTGTCAAGAGCATAGGATCTATATTATGCGAAAACTGCAAAAAAGAATATCAATAGAAAATTTTTTATTTCATTTCTAAAAATTAATTTTACAAAAATCGACAAGATTAACAAAATAAATAAATTTCAATTATTGTAATTTATTATAAAACAATTAAAAATATTTTTGTATTCTTTTATTAAAAAATAAAATTTTTAAAGACTCTTACATTTTGAACATTATGAAACCTTGGATTTGTTTCTGCGGACGCAGAAGGCATTTGGTTTGGATTTGGTTGTTCCTAAAAGAAGAAAAATCGTGAACAAAATTTAAACATAGAGAAAATTGAAAATAAACTATTACAATTTTAATCTTTTTGTTGTTAAATAAATTAGTGGAAGTAAAAATATGAAATCATTATTATATTTTAAAATTTATAAAAAAAAATGATCGAAAGCATCAATTTCAAATTTAAGTATTTTTTAAACATTTCATAAAACTTATTATTGTAAACAAACGTTTTTATCCTTTTATCAATATTCTTGTTTAAAAATTAATAATAAATTATTATTATTATTATAATTATTAATTGTTTTTTCAACTCACTTTTTTTGTTTCGACATTTAACATTTTTTGACGAATTATATTTTCTGCTGTCAAGTCCTTGGTATTGTTTTCGACGTCTTTAAGATAAGCAGCCATAGCAGCCTGATGAAAAAAAAATTTTTTTTTATTTTGAAATTAAATTTAACTAATTTTTTTTAATTAAATTAAATTTTTAATTATTAATTTCTAATGTAAAATATAATTTTGAAATTAATAAAATAGTAATTTAAAAAATACAATCAATTAAAAATATTTTTTAAAAAATTAAAAATAAAAAGAAAAATTTCCTTTTTTTTAATAATTGCATTTTTCACTCACGTTTTCCATTTTTTTGATGTCATTATCAAACTTTTGTTGTTGCTTGGCTTCCTTAATGCTTTTCTTACGAATTTCCTTGAGTTTTTTCTCCACATTTTCCTTGTGTTTTTTGCCATTCTCATGAAATTCAATACTCGGCTTATTATCAGCTAGCCAACATTTACAATAGTCACAAAATTTTCGTGTCTGCGACTTCCAATAATCAGCCCTTGTAAAATAAAAAAAAAAAAAAAAAATTATAACATTAATAAAAAATTGCATTTTCATAAAAATAACAATAAAATTTGGAATATTGAGTATAAAAACAAAAAATAATATTTTTTATTTACAATAAAATAAAAACGTAAAAATATCTCTAGATAATTTTTTTTGTCGATCATTTTTCTTTTCGAATATTTTTTCCATTATTGGCCTCGGGGGGATGTCATTTAATCATACACAAGGTGTTTGATGGATTTGCATTTTCCAATAAATAAAAAATCTGTCACAGGAGAAATTTGTTAATGCCACTATTTGAAATATAGGGCTGACCTTTTTTTTTTTTTTTTTTTTTTTAGATAAATAAAAGTATAGATTTTATTCGTCAAAAAAAAAATTCATTTAAGAAGACAATAATAAATTCTAAATGTAGGGAAAAATAAATTTATTCCAACTATAATGTATTATAGTATATTAAAAGTATAATATAATAAATATTGATTTTTAGCCAATTTCAATGAAATTAAATGTATTTTTATTACTTATTGTTTAATTTAAATATTTATATTTAATTTATTAATTTAATTTAATTAATAAATATTTAATTATAATGGAAGACATTTCATTTTCCTATATTCTTGGTAAAAAAATTTTAATTAATTCAAATACATTATATTTGGTTGAATTACACAAATGTATAATTAAAATCATATCGTAATTCTTGCATTTTACAACCAATTTCAAAACCTAAATTGTTCCTGAAACTTTTGAACCTCTATATTACTTCTCTCTCTCTCTAATTATTGTTCTACTGAGCACAAATTCAGTGAAAGTCGAGAAAATGAAAAATATTGAGAAAACAAAATTCTATAGTAAAGAAAATATTTTTATCTACAACAATAATTATTGTATATATATATAGTATTTTTTTTATCAATTGCATGTGAAAAAAAATAAATAATTTTGGAATAAATATTTTCATATTTATTTAAAAATTAAAATATAAATAATATTTTTTTTAAACTTCTATATACCCGTGTGGAAAAGTGATGTGGGCCCCCAGCGGGGGCCCTTATGGATCGCCCTCATGCCATGAGGGCCGCATATGGATGATCCATAGGGGCCCCTCATGGAAACGACATGCTCATCGATGAGGGCGCCCGCATGGGCGATCCATGAGGGTGCCCCTACGGGCGCCCTTATGGGCCCTCACGTTTGCCCTCATCTTGCCCTCAAGTTTGCCATAATGTTTTTTAATCAATAATATTAATAATAAAAGTTAATTAATAATAAATAAGCTTAAGTTATGAATAAATAACATATTTATTTAATAATTATTCAATTTTAAATTAAATTCTTACTCAAATTGAATTTATTAATTAACGTTCTAATTAATTAACTGTCGGATATAATTAAAAGTAATAATAAATTAATTAATTAAAAAATTAAAAATATGTAATTTATGCATACTATTAACGGATATTTTCATTTTTCAATTAATTCATACATAGAATTAATGATTAAACGCAAACCTGAGAAATAAATAAATCTAACGCATGGGGGGAATCGAACCTACGACCTACGGACTATGAGTCTAACGCTTTACCAACTACGCTACGCACGCTACTTCAAAACGAATGCTAACTTCTTGATGCTATTTAAACTTGAAAAATACCTAACAAAGAAAAGTGCTTAACATCATTTAGTTAAAGTTAAGATATTAAATTATATTTTCCAATCAAATGCAATTTATAAAATATAATTAATTATATGCTTTATGATTATTATCATGAATCATCTCAGGTGAATTTTCAAAAAAAGTGTAAATATATTTTTATTAAAAACGCGTTTTTCGTTGTTTGGAATCATTGGAAACATTCATTTCACAGTAAACTTGGTTGTATCTTTTTCTATTGCAACGTTTTGATGCACATAAGTTATATCAAAAAGAGATCGTTTTGTGTATCATTTTTAGAAATGATACACGAAACGGTCTCATTTTTTGATGCAAAAAATTTAATCAATTTATATCAATCATGGCCGAATTGAATCGACTCAAAATTAAACGAATTTTTTTCAGATATTTTAGTAATAGTACAATTGCGGAGACCATTTCACTATTTAATTTGAAAATAAAAATAACAGAAAATCGAAGACAATGTGCAATTCGATAATTAAAAAGTGACAGCTTATAAACATAACCTAAAATGCATGAGAAAAAATTTGTCGATAAAATCAATATAGCCGAGCTTCTTAGAAGGTAGATGGCAGCACTCATCTATTTTCTTTCTTTAAATTTTTTCTGAATCGTTTTTATAAAAAGCAAAACTGCCATCTACCTTCTAAAAAGCTCGGTTATATTGATTTTATCGACAAATTTTTTCTCATGCATTTTAGGTTATGTTTATAAGCTGTCACTTTTTAATTATCGAATTGCACATTGTCTTCGATTTTCTGTTATTTTTATTTTCAAATTAAATAGTGAAATGGTCTCCGCAATTGTACTATTACCAAAATATCTGAAAAAAATTCGTTTAATTTTGAGTCGATTCAATTCGGCCATGATTGATATAAATTGATTAAATTTTTTGCATCAAAAAATGAGACCGTTTCGTGTATCATTTCTAAAAATGATACACGAAACGATCTCTTTTTGATATAACTTATGTGCATCAAAACGTTGCAAAGATTTGATGCAATTTTTGGTCTCAATTTGATACTTTTAGGAAAACTGTGTTTTTGTTGATAAAAAAATATTTGATTTTTGGACTTAGAAAATTTTGCTAATCGATCATGAGGGCGATCCATGCGGGGCCCCTCATGGATTCGCCATATGGATCAGCCCTCATGGGCCCCCGCCGGGGGCCCCGAACTCTTGAGGGCAAGATCGTGGCTTTTTCCACACGGGTATCTAAAAATTAAAATATTGTCCCTATAATTAATTCCGACGAAGAAAATTTGTTCTTTACGATCGAATTTATTAAAAATTAATAAAAATTTTGTCATTTATTTTTTTCCAGATTAATTATTCTTTTTGTTTATTTTTTTTATTATATTTTATTCATTATTTTATTTATTATATAAAAAAAAAATTTTTAATCGAATGACTCTATGATTATATTTAATGTGGAAAATATTTTCTTTTCAATGAGAGAGCTTTCGATATATAAATAATATTTATTTCACGTCGAACTGACAATTAATTTCTTTCGGTCTAAATCAAACTTTGAATGTGGAATTATTGGAAGTCGATTTATAGAAAAGTAAAATCTTTTTTATATTTACATTCATCTTTTGTAAAAAGACAGTCGACACGAATTACAGAAACTCATATTGACGACTATTGTTTTTCTCAATATTGTTAAAAGAATGAAAAAACTCGTATATATGTTCACTTATATGTTATAATAATAATAATAATAATAATTTACTAAACATATTTGTAATTTAATTTTTAATTTGAACTTTTTTTGTAAAAAAAAAATTATTTTATTTTAAATTATTTCAATCAATATTTAATTTTTTTTTAATTTTCTAATTTATTGTTAATTAGAAAAATAAAAATTAAATTTTCAAAATTTAATCAAATTAAATGGCGAAAAACTTGGATTTTTGTATAATAAAGTATATTTTGTATTTTATTGATTTAAATTTCGCGCCATTTGTAAACATGAGTTCGATAGTATCGAACTTGTATGTAATTTGATTGGTTAATTCTTAAAAGTACCCCAAATGTACTATTCGAATCAACCAATTAACTTGTAACATAGAATCGATACTATCGAAAAGTGACCACGAAATTTAAATTAACATTATTATAAATATTATGATAAAATAAATAAAGTATTATAATTTGTCAAACGTTTTTATGATGACTAATAAAAAAATATATTTTCTTATAAATTTTTGTTATATATAAAAAAAAAAAAAAAAAATTGAGCCTCGCAGGATATGTAAAAGGAGACGTGCAAATGAAGTGTATAAATTTATATGGGTATAAGAGGTTTTCTTAAAGTTGAGAAAATAACTCGAGAGTAAAATTTCTCAAATTTCGCTTAATTGCCATTTGTGTACAGTTGATAAATTTTCTCCTAGAGAAAGCCAGCCTAAATTAGTTGGCAATTAGCTGCCGTCTTCCTTATAGCCTTGAGCCAGGTCTTCGGTGTACTTGGCCTTCCTGTCTTCTCATTCAACTATTTTGTATCCGGTTGCCTTGCATTGTAGGGACAATTAAAAGTAATATATATATATATATATATATATATATATATATATATATATATATATATATATATATATATATATATCAGTGATGCATAAGATGAAGAGAAAAATTTATGACTCAGCAAATTTTCATCATTATACACTTTCAATCTGAATATTCAAATTCATATACATAAAAAAAGGTATATTTTTTATATTTAATAAAATATTCTATTTTTTCAATTTTTTTAAACAAATTTTTCGAAAAATTAATTTTTAAAATTATTATTAAAAAAAATGTTTATAATTATTTTTAATTATTTTTATATTTTTAAATTAAAAATTTTTTTAACCAAGAAAATGTAAATTAAAAAAAAATTTGGTTCAATTTTTTTTTGAAATAGTAAAAAATTAAAAGAATGAAATAATTTTTTTAGCAATTTTTTTTTTGTATATATAAGAATTTAGATCATTAAAATTTTGAATAGTATGTATGAATTTTGTAACAAGACAATAATAATGACTTGTGAAATTAATGCCCTGAAATTAGGTGCACATTTATAAATCTTTCGGAGCAAGGCGTCCTGATGTTTATTTATAGGAAAAGTGTCTTTATATTAATAGAAGTCATTATTAATAGAGCGTAAAACTTAGGACAGCTGTAATTTTCAAACCTTTTCTTATCAAATATATTCTATATGTGATGCATTTTATTATGACAATAATAATAAAAATAATAATAATTTATGATAAATTAAAAGATTTTTTTTTATTAAAAAAGTAAAATTAAAAAAAGTTTCTAAATTT